TCATTTATCTGGCTAAAAGTCTGCAGCTTGTTGTTATAATTAATGTCATTTGATGCAATTCCCTGTTCATTTACCTGTTCTTTAGATGACCTTCTTGTTACCTGTAAGTTCCATCCTCATTTCTTGTCCGTGTCCAAATATCCTGATTAAAATTTAAAAAACACAGGATAAGAAATCCAGTCTTCCTTGTCAAAGAGGTTCGAATGGAGATTTGATGTATGTATGCTTTGCATCTTAGCAAGGTACTTTTGTTGAGTCAGTTCACTGCTTCTCAATGGCTCAATTTCATAGAATCGTAGAATCACAGAATGGTTTGGGTTGAAAGGACCCTTAAAGATAATCCAGTTCCAACCCTTTGCCATAGGCAGGCACCAGGTTGCTCAAATCTCCATTCAAGCTGGCCTCGATTTTTTTGCTCCCTTACACACTGAATCTGAAGACCTTTTCCCATTTGTGTAAAGTAGTTGTTCATTGTGGAACGCTTTGTACTGCTTGTTTTTCTTGTGTTCTTCTGTACAGGTCTTTGCCACTTCGTGTAACTGTAGTGGCATTTCCATTCTGAAATCAGCCTGTAATGACATCTCAGAAAACAGCAGCTTTCACTTGACTTTACTGTAACTTTTTCTTTACTCTCCCACCTTTACAGCAGTGTCATCATGTTTTCAGTGCTCCCTTTAAGAAGAAACTTTTTGTTTTAAGCTCTTAAGCTAAAATTACATTTTTATTTAAGTCTTTATATACTTGCTGTGAATTGCTTTCCATTGTGAGACTGCGTCAGTAGATAGATTACTGTGCACTTCTGTAGCCTATGATAAGATCTCGGCAATTGCTGCTTCCCGTAGGAACAGAACTGTTAAAATGAGAGTATATCATTATCTCTTAGTCTGAGCTACTCCAGAGTTTATGGTATAATAAAAGAGTGTGATCAAATTAAGGCCTGCAGCAAAGTTCCCCAGGAGCCTTTCTGTTGAATATGAAGGCCTTTAGACTAGACATTATTTCCTCTATTGGGAATAGTAACGTGCAGATCTGTGTAACATTGTGGTGTGCTTGAATGACTGATGTCATCAACAGTTCTTCATGTGACCTAATACTTACTTCAGGATTTTGGGGTATATCTTTCCTAATCTCCTGTTGGTGTCTGAACAAGATGGGAAAAGTGTAGTCAAATGTGCTGTTGTGCTAGGAGTGTACATATGGAAGCTATAGTGTGGTGCAGAGTGCCAGTGGTTAGGACAAGTTTGCAGAAAATACTTACTGTCCAAAGGGGGAATTGTCAGACTTCAGACTCGAGAGTAGTTAGAGGTTGGGAGCCTGAATTGAGGGTGGTTTTTTGAAGGCTGAGAGGAATGGAAATAAAGTGCTGTGGGCTACAGAGTAATCACTACTGGTGGGTATTAATAGCAGGAGGAAGGGTCAGGTATTCTGATGCAGAAGGCTTTGGGACAAGGGGCTGAGACCCACCATGAGCACCTCTTCCTGGTGAACATCTGTAGGTCTCTGGAAGGTAAGGCTGTGTTCATGGGACTGATCCTTTTTGTCTCATCTGCCCTTGTGTTCTGTGTCCTTCCTTTGTGGTTAGAAGCGTGATGCTGTCAGGCCAAGTGGAAATCAATTCAAGCAACTGAGAGCAATCTTCTCCTGTAAATCATGAAAGAACTTCTTATTCCAGTCACTACTGCACATGAACAGCTACAAGAACTTTCCATCTGAAGAACAGTGCTTCAGTAGACTTCCTCTTTCCACCCCTGAAGCTTCTGGGGGTATTTGCACAGAGTACGGGACTTAAAACCAGGAGATGAGTGGCATGGGATGACTCATGCTCAAAACCAGAAGCATTTGACTTTGGAAAACTGACTTCAGTTCTAGCCCTTCCTCTTTAAAGTTTTATATTGCACGACCTTTTAAATGAAATGTCGAGCTTCCTTTTTAACTGACGGGATCTCTGCAGTGTGACTGTGAGTGTGATTCAAGAAGGAGTTTCGTAACTTTATCAATCCCTGTGTTCATCCGCTGCCTTCAGTTCTCATGACATCACTGGCTTCAAGTTCCTCATAGCATAATAATTCCTTTTGTGAGTGATTCTGCTTTCTCCAGCATGGAGATCATCCTATTGTATTATTACTGACATACTCTGAAACCACCCTGACACCAGTGTTACATGATTCCTGCAATAACCAGTAACAAAGGTTTTGGAGGAATGTACAAAAAGCCTGTAACGTGGCCAGTTGTACGTTGTTTCTCTCCAATCATTTTCTCTACTGAAGGCCATCTGATTTCCACTGAAGTCAGGTTCATATTCTTGGAAGTGATCTTAGAAATTTTTTTTTGGGGGGGGTCACTTTAGATGTCCTAGCAACTGCTGTAGCCAAATAAAAAAAACAAACCTCCCCAAAACCCTAAACCACCTTTATCCCATGTTGCTGAGAAGAGTATGCCTCCTCTTTTCAGGCTTGGCTTTGTTGCTGAGGTCCAGGCATGCATAGCCTCCAGGATTTTGGATTTTATTGGTGTCCATTACATTCAGAAATGAAGTGCTGTGTGCTAGCTGGCTTTTTTTCAGGAGACAGCAGGTTGCCTGTTGCCGTATCTGGGTCCCTCATTTTATTACCCACTCCATTTCTTTTTTGTTAGTTGAAAACATGCTCCAGAAATGTATTATGCTTTTTAAATTGTCTGTGTTTCTGGGATGTACATGGGTAACTTGGCTTTTCATTTTCTCTGTGCATCTCCTAGGACTCCCTTGTTCTGTCAGTACCTTTAGACATTGTAGCATCTTTAAACAGATCCAGTATTTGGCAGTGAGGTAACAGCCAGTTCTCTGTTCCCGGAACAGCAAATTACCAGTTTCAGATCCTTAAATATGGGACATTGGTATTTGAATCTATGGAACTCTTCAAGGCTGGGAGTAGTGTGTATGTGCACTTACACATATATGCTTAAGTATAAAGCTTTTGTATCAGAATGCCTTTGTATCATTCCATTTCCGTAATGAAGCATTTCATCCGCTTCCTTTCTTAAAAAAGGGGACACGTCGTTTCAAATGTGAAAGGAAACAGTGTAGATTAGTGCTGCTGCTAATTTAGCCCAGCATTTACAGCAAAAATGCCTGAGGGTCTTCTGGCTTCATTTGCATTTTGCTGTGCTTATAATATGAATCCTAAGCGCTGGGGTTTTGTTATTTTTCTCTTTTTTTAACGCTTAAAAGAAATAACATGTTGGCTCTGTGGGAAATGTGGTTAGAGGTCTAGAAAGCCAGTTTTCCTGGTTCCCTGTTTTTGTCTCTTGTTAATCCTGTACAGGCAGTAAAGAAGAAAAAGAAACCCCTGCAAAATACAAAGTCACCAACCTAGTGTCAGAGATGGAATTTATGAAAACACCCATTTTAGCTGCCTCGTGTTTGAGATATTAGACTGTGGCAGTCAAGATCATATTCTCCAGACTGCATTCTTCATAAGCAGAAATACTGGCAGCCATGTGCTAAGTTATAAAAAGATAGCAGCTGATGTCAGGGCTTATTTCAGAGAGGAGCCATTTCAGAATACTGTACTAATTTTGAGCAGGTATATGTAAAATAGAATTCTTCCCTTGACATGTAGCTTTCCGTGTAAACTGATACAGAGCTGAATAATAGGGTAGAGAAAGATGAACAAATAATAAGCTGCAGTATATAGCACACTTAAAAAGAAATTGTCAGCAGTGTACATGATCATTTGTGCAAAACTGAGAGGAAGAGAAAACCAGTTCAGTTTGGCCTCTGTGTTAGTGATTTTTGAGCTGGTACAAAATCCTCCTGCTCTGATGTTGGAAAGTTACCACAGTTTGAATCAGAGCCTTAGCTAATTCAAAAGTACTCGTAGAGGAGAGCCCAGCCTTTCTATGCAAGTAGGCTATGGATCACAAGCAGCCCTCCAAATGCACTGACTTTATGTGTGCAGAAACCTGTTCTCTGGTCATACTGGGTGTGGATCAACACCATGTACAAATATAGCTGTATCTGGACAGAAAACTGAATTAATTCTGAGCTCTGCTTCATTTGGTTGGCAATATTTAACAAAATCAATGCCATGCACTGAAAAGGCATGAATTTAACTCCATAATTTCTTTTTAATGGTGAATTTTTAGTGGCCTCTGGGCTAGGTTCACATATTCATTTCATGCACGATGTCTGTCTTAGAATTACTTAAACTTATTATGCCATTGAAATACCAGTTCTATAATAAATCCATTCCATTGGTTTTCATTAATTCCAGTTAAATCAGAGAGCTTCACCCTGAATTTTCTAGCTTTTTTTGCATACTTACATAGTATTTACTTACCATGTGCAGTTCAGTTTCTACACATTGGGATTAATGTCCAAGGACAGCAGAATTCTCATTAAAGCTTCTGAAATTGTCTCAGATAGCTTGAAAAAAAAGTGCATGTAACAGTGCAGCCTTCAGTCCACCAGCTAAAACTCTGTCTATATATATATATGTATATTTTTATATATATATATCTGCTTTAGCTGAGCCTGTGAATTGGATACAAATAACTTTCACCATTTGCAGCTTTATGACATCTTGTTGATAAGATAAAGATGTAGGTGATCTTGCATAAGTCACCACTCCATGTGTGTGTTTGAAGCCAAGGGAGGTAGACAAGGGTTTGGTTTTTTTCTACCACAATGTTTTCTAATTGCTGCTGAGTCAGAAGTACAACGGATAATTTCAGTGTTATTGGGAGCAATTGCTCCATGAGGGATGTAAAAGCATAATCTCTGGTAAATGTTCTGTTACTTTATTATGCAAACTAATAACATTTTAACACACAAATAATGTTAGGTTTGTATTCTGATAAATTTAAATTCAGTTCTTAATTTGAAGCCCAAAGTGTTTTCTGTCCAGAGCTCCTATATGTGAAATACAGTCAGATGGGTCTTTGTCTTAAAATAACTAATGGTATAATGATATTAGGTGGATTAATAACTAAGGCTTTTTTTTCTTGTTTGTTTGTTTCAGGACATCAGGCATGAAGCCAGTGACTTTCCGTGTAAAGTGGCCAAACATCCCAGAAACAAAAATAGAAATAGGTACAGAGATGTCAGCCCCTGTAAGTACGCTTTCTTTTCCATTGTTTGATGGTTGGCCTCTAATGACTTCTTGTAACAGCTAAATGTTCTTTGTAAGGACAACATTTCTGTTAGGGGGATATGCATCCAAAACAATTATTTTTGTTAATATATTTAAGATAGATGTCACAGGATGCCTCTATATTCATAGGATTGTACTAGAGCACTATGAAATAGGTTCTGTATTAGTGGGCACAAATCTGAAGAAAGGAACTTACTTTACCTTTGAATTCTTGTGCTAGGGAAGAATGGTGACTGAAGTAGCATTAATAAGATGGCAAGTATCCTTTCTGTGTCAGTGTACTTAGAGCATCCTTCTAGTCAGTATAAGAATCTACAGATCTTACAGATTCTGTAAGAATATATATGTTAGAATATATAGAAGAACCTCTGTTAGAATATATATAAGAATCTATAGATTTTGATAGAGCATCTTCTAGTCAATAGAAGCATAACTGCTTCTGTTGGGAGAGGGGAAACAGTCTTGCATAAAGTGCATGACTTCTAGAAAGAAGTCTAAGCTAATTAGAACAGAGGGGCCATTAGCAAAGGTGGCCCTACTAGTGAGAATTGTGTTTCTGAAATAATTTTTATTACATATTTTGGTGCCAAGTACATCCTTGAGCATGTTTCCTGTGTACAAGGCACAGTTTGGTGTTGCAGCATGTCCTCCTTTTTATGATCCCACATACAAAGGCAGTAACACAGAGCATGCCAGGCATAGGGAAGTCTGAACTTCTGGGGTGCAAGAGAGGCTGCAACAACCAAAACATGCAGAGTGCAATGAAGTGCAGGACAGTAGTTTAATGGTCAGCAGATAATACTTAATGTATTAGACACTAAAGAAAGTTCACAGCTGGCTCAATAAAGTGCCGTCTTTGTGCTGTGTGACAGTGCCTATTCTGGCTCTTCTTTCCCTCTTCAAGGGTGCAGCACTGCCAGCTGATCTAAATGTGGAGTTTCTATAGGCTCTACCACTTGGCAGATGTCTGATGTTCAAAGACAAGAGTATTATTGTATATCAGGAAACTTCCTCTTAGTAGTTAAAAGTTCCTGAAGTCTTGGGGCAGTTGACTGAGAATAGTAATGTTGCGTGTGGTTTGCTTTACTAAGCAGTTCTAATATTTGGGGTTGTGAGTAACAAATAGTTGCTCTTTGCCTTTAGATAATACTGCTTCCAGTCTGCTTGGCTTTCTTGCAAAATGTGGGAATTTGTGTGTGTGTGTGTGTTGGTGTTTTGGTTTATTTTAAGTCCAAGTGGAGCTACCTGAGACTAACGAGAGCAATGAATTTACACTTCTGGAATTCCTGAGTTTTGTGCATTCTGCATGAAGGTGTGGTTGGGTTGGGGAACAGTAGCTGAGTGTCCGTAAGAAGAATAAGAAGTCTATGTTCTGTTTGTTCAATATATGTTTAGGCAAACCTTTAACAACCTTGAACAAGATGAGTTTGAGTGTTTAAGCTGCAAAAGATAAGCAGCTGTGTAAAGAGATTTATTTAAAAACAGTAACTTGATAACTGTACAAATAGGTCAGCGTGATCTGGTTTGCAAATTACCATTGAGATTATTTCAAATACTTCCATTCTTGCAATGTATTCTTGGAAGATGAAGTGCAACATCTGTTTGTTACTGCCCTGCTGTAGTACTGTTCATGAGGGACTTGTATTTCCAGAGTTACAAGCACCAGGAAACACTTCTGTGCTATCTGTCATTAAACTCTTTAGGCTTTTTTGATCCTAACATCTGATGAGGTTGTGCATGGATTGTGTTGTGTTGCATAGACATTAACCAGTGTTTTCTAATTCTGCTGCAGTTGATCACAGTCGAATTAAGCTAAACCAAGGTGACAATGACTATATCAATGCTAGTTTGATAAAAATGGAAGAGGCCCAAAGGAGCTACATCCTTACCCAGGTAATTGCTGGCAGTGGACAATAAAAATCTCATGGTGATTGGAGTTGGGTTTCGTGGGTTTTCTTTAGCCTTATCGTGTTTGTTTTCTTTATTGTAAGGCTACTTAAGTGCTTATTGACATCTGTGTGCATATGTAAGCATGCACATAGAACAGACTTATAGAAGTGCTACAGATTCCTTCTTGCTTCCTGTCAGCTCAGACTGACTTTTTGTGGAGTGTTTTAGCCACTTTCTATATTTGACTTTAGACCCATTGAGGCTACAAACTAGCATACTTCTACAGATCTGCTTGTTGGCTTATGACAAGCAGCATTTAAATGTGATTGAAATGAATCATGCTTCTACATGGAACACCAGCACAGTGGTTCCATACCACTGGTCTTAAGTGGCCTGATAAATTCTCTGAACAGAGGTGAGCCTCAAGGGAGGGTTTCACATTTACAGAACTGTATTTATGAATGTAAAGATGTTCAAAACCAGTATGAGATAACATACTTTAACAGGTATTTGAGTGGGGTAGAAGTTAACTAAAATATATTAGGGAATGTTCTGTTCCAAATAAGCAGAATGCTCTATCACGTGTTTCTTGTTAAACATCCTTCTGAAAGTGGTGGTTTTGTAGCATTTACAAGTAACGTACCTACTGATGCCACAACTTCCAAAAAGCTTAAGTTGGGCAGTGCTGATGCTTGTACCTTTAATGTGAGAGAGGAAAGCTATTAATACTGACTTCAGTGATGGGAATTTGGAGGGGGTGGAAGCGGCTGGTTTTCACTGAATCTGTGAATTCCACACCTATTTATATAACAGATTTAAAAATACACGGGTAGCCTGTCATCTTCTTTTGAGAGCCAGCAACTGTGCCAAAACTCTTGTTTGTCCTAAATGTTCAGTTTGCTGGAGACTGTCCTGGTCTTTAATCTTGCCTTGTTTTTTACCTATCCTTCCATGCTTTAGATAAAGGTGGGCTGGCATTAATATTTTCAAGCAGCAGCTCTTCCTTCCTGTTTCTAGAGAATAAAGATCAATCTTCTAAGGAAGAAGTGTTTGCTATGACAATGATTCTGTGCAGACAGCTCTTACTCCACTTAGGAAAAGGGAGGTTGATCATAGGGTCGAACTGGTATGTGGAATAGTCAAATGTGAAGCTAAGATGTTACTAGTTTTCTGTTCTGATCTAGAATTTAATGGATTTGAGTGGCTTTATTTAAATCCAGTCATTCTTCCTGAGGACCCTGGCCTGCAGTTCTGCTTAAGCAAAGTGATAGATAGCACATATGAGAAGCACAATGATGCTATGCTGGCTTGTGTTGACCAAAATTCAGAGCAATGCTTTTGGAGTAGGAAATTCCAAAGGAACATAGCACAAGCACACAGTTACAACAACATCTACGTTGTGAGTAGACTAGTAGTCTTTAAAAGGAGTTGACACTACTTCAGTCCCAGAGCAGATCAGTGAAGATTCTGGAAAACCATATAACTTGTTACTGATCTGGCATTGTTTCAGTCTTTCGAATGTCCATTCAGTCAAGTAATTTTCAAGTGTTATGAATAACAGTGATTAATAGAAGAATAGTCTTAACATAGGTGTTAACTCTGCTCTTAGTGAGGTTCTATTTCCCCATTGCTTTGTGCATCTTTTCTAAGAAGATTCTCAGCATTTTTCACTCCCAGTTCTGTTCTCGCAAGTGAGACTACTTCTCTCTTCCTGTTTTATATGGGGGGGAAAGATTAACATGCTTTCATGGGTAAACTCATAGTGGGAAAATGGAACTTAAAGCTGTATCACTGCATTTTTTTACAGTTCGAAATGAGAAGTTGCTTGTTACTTGTCAAAATTTATTGCCTAGTGCAGTAACTTCTAGTGGGGAACGTTGCACTGACATTAACAGAAAATAATGCTTATTTCTGGGGATTCTGCCTCTGCAGGGACCTTTGCCAAATACTTGTGGTCACTTCTGGGAGATGGTTTGGGAACAGAAAAGCCGTGGTGTTGTCATGTTGAACAGAGTGATGGAAAAGGGATCTGTAAGTACTTTAAATTCTAGCTATGTGTTCAGTGCATTGTTTTTCTTTATTAAAAAAAACCAACCCAAACAAAACCCAAGCAATCAAAACAACAATGAAAACCAACCCAAAGAATGGGGCGGGGTAGGAAGGAAGTGACTGTAAGTTGTATTATCTAAGAAATTATGCCTAGAATTGAATATCCAGTGAACCAATCTTAGCACAGTCAGAAAATGACTTGGTTTGTAATTGTAGGTCCTAATTTCTCCTGAGTTTGTTCTCTATTGTTACCCTAGGTATCTGAATGTAGTTCTTTCCGGTGTACACAGATTGTAGCTGTCAAAGGCCATTTGCAGCAAGTGTTCATTCACAAGCATTATGAAATGGTTTTGAAGTAGCTAGAGAGGCACTTTGACTCCAGGCTTCCTTCATGCAGTAAGACCTGTGATTATTAAAGGTACCACTAAGGCACACTGTATCTCTACCGTTGTCATTGTTCTACAGAATTGATGAAGGCTTAGGAGAAGGGAATTAGGATTGGCAGCACTTCACCTGGTATCTGCTTTAACCAGTGATGTTCTGTGGGATGTGGAACCAGCTGTTAAGCCTATGCTTTACTCACTGTGACAAGTGTGGTGGTCTAAGGTCTGTCCCATCCTTTTAGAAGTTTACGTTGGACAAGAAAGGCAGAAGGTGAAGGGAAGCAAGAGGTGAACAGTTGAGGTTAATTTTGAAGTAATTTACCTTCAGATAGAAAAAAGGTCTTGCTTCCTCTGGCACGTCAAGTAGATGCTGTCTTGAGAGGAAATGCCTTGCCCTTTCTCATAGTGAAGACAGGAACCACCAGGCATGGTTTTCATCCTTGGGTCAGAGTTCTGCCTCTATGCTAATTCCACATCTGCCATCCTTAAAGCGGACTTGGCAGCTGTGCTGACTTCAGACAAAAGCAATTTTAAAGACTGATAGAAATGCACAATTTAAAGTTGAATGTTACAGTGTAGTCAGCATAAAGACACTTTGGAGGGGGGTAGCGGGTTCGTTGGGCATTCACCGGTGATAACTGGGTGGTACATGCTTCAGCGTAATTGGGAAAGAATTCCCAATAATCAGGAAAATTCTTGTGCAGTGAGTAGAGTTCTAATAAACTGCAGCCTTGATTTTTTAGAGTTTTGCTTTTTTTTGTAGTGCAAGTGAAATTTAATCTTCAAAAGAGTTGCAGTAACCATATTTTCAATAGTTTCTTCCTTTCCAACCATTCCCTCTCATTCTCTGCACTGCCAATAGTTCTGAACAAAATGAATTACTGAGATCCCTCAGGGCAGGCTGCTTACACTTCTCAGCAAGCAGCAGTGGGGGACCTACACAGTGGAACACAACAAAATATTGTTTGCAGACACATTTGGTGGAGAACTGAGACACAAAGCCAGTGGCTGTCTCTTTAACATCAATAAGAGAAAAAGAGCAGAGAATTATAATTCATTCTACACCATGAGAAACTAGAGAATGGATTTTGAGTAAGAACTAGAAATAGTGGGAACAGAACTGGTATTAGTCCATGAATAAATTACTGAAGCGTTTTCTTACTTATTACAATACTGTCAGAAATCATCTTAGTCTTGAGAATGTTGTTTTTTTTTTCATTGTTCCTCCATGTCAACTTTAAACCCATATTATTTGCCCTTCAATAAAGGAGACATTAGCCATGTTCAGCAATCCATTCTGTTGCATGGTTAGCAATGGTTAGATGATGGTCATAATCACATCTCAGAGGTGCTTAGTGGCAGAAGAAGCTGGCCACTTCACCCAGTCACGATATCCTTAGATGTAACTGTCAGAAACTTGGCTGCAGGCTTCCTATTCATGTTGCTGATGAGTTTCTTTAGTTCTTAGCTTCAATTTTTCACTGCAAAATGTGCTGCTTTGCTATTTGGTTGACTCATTTCAGCTCCTAGCACTTAGCAGGCTTTGCAGAAGTCAGCTCTCTGTGCTACTTTACTGAGAACATTGAAATTCAGTCAGAAGTATGTAATGGGAACGTTTGCTGAATGCAGGGTTTTTGTTTGGCTCTTTACTTCTAAACTATGCCATGCAAAATCCAAATGATCTCACTGCTATTTTTATTTCTGTGGTAAGTGAATGGAGTAACCCAAAATCTCATCTGATGTTACACTTGCAAATTAGCAGTGGTGTCATTCTCTATATGTAGCTTCTTCGTGGAATACATAATGCTTTTCACAGTATGTTCTGCTCTTGTTAGCATCTATCTCTTCTTTTGAAATTAAAATGTTTGACATGAGGGTAATAAATAAAATGCAGAGTAGACCGAAACTCAGATGTTGGCAGTGTTGAGAGAGCTTTTATACCTAGACAGTTATTAGATTTGTGGTTTTGTTTGTTCTGACACAAGCTAAAACAAATAGTGGTGTTGGTGATTTTGATTAGATTCCATAAGTCACATTCTTTGAGCTTATGTGTAGAAGAAGAAGAGCTCTACCTAAACAGACCTGTCCTCCATCCTTGATTCAGGCAGGGTCAAAATCATGTTGACTCATCCAGCAGGTTCAGTGGAGATGTGGTTCTGCAGGACAAAGGAAGACTGTTGTTCTTCACGCTAGAACTGGTCCTCCGTATCATAAAAGCAGATGAAGAAATCATCTCATAAGAAAATGTTATATTTAAGGATGTTTATTCCTTGCCTTTTACACAAACATAAATGATAAATAAGTATCTCCTATTTGTTTTTAGGTCAAGTGTGCACAGTACTGGCCACAGAAGGAGGAGAAAGAAATGTTTTTCGAAGATACAAACTTGAAACTAACATTGATATCTGAAGATATAAAATCCTATTACACAGTACAACAGCTAGAATTGGAAAACCTTACAGTAAGTACAGAAACTAGCACCAGTCAGGTTCTTCAGTCCCTCTGAGGTGAGATTCGCCTCCTCATCAACAAGGCCTTGAAAAAGACGGTCGTGAGTTATAGCAGATTTTGGTCTGGAATTGGTGATTCTGCATGAGGTTGTTCTTCAGCCTCTGGTTTGTGTTGTGGAAATGAAACTCCTGAATATTTATGAAGCGTATCTGGGGAAACTACAGTCATTTTCATGTCTCAGCCGTGCACCAAGTGTGAAGGTCAGTTTGTCACTACCTTTCAGAGAACCCTTTATAAAATCACTTAGCAGAGCTTAGTGCTATTGTATTATAGCTGAAATAATTGCTTCTCCTGTTAAGGTACATGTTTGCATGTGTCTGCTTCTAAGGTTTATTTTTAGGGTTTTTTTTGGCTTAAATCTTCAGGTTTTACATTGGTGGTCTTCATCAGAAAGCAGGAGAAATACTCTTTATTTTCTTTTTTTTTGGTTTTTTTTCTTCCTCTTGTTTCTTGTTTCATCTTCTTTCACTGTCATCTTTTTGCTCCTCTTTTGTCTATTTTTCTTCCTCCTCTTTCATATTTTTCTTGTGCAACACCAAAATGAAAGCTTACATGCTGTTTCCCACCCTTCCTCTTCTCTTCAGCGCTGCCCTGTATTAGAGCAGTGAGAGCTAATCTAAAGCTCTTTGGGGAGACTGGCTAAGGAAGAACACCACTAACTTCCCCTGAATGCAGGTCACTGAAGATAATGTCTTAGGTCCTCGATGCTGGGCTAGGTGCATATGTTGGGATATGCTAGCCTGCATTCTGTTGTGTGCTGCTCACTGCTGGGAGACACAATTATTCCTTTGCTCATCTGTTAGCCTCTCACATGCTTCATTTTGCCAGGAAGTGTGACAGCAGATACGAATTTGATCACATTATGCCTGAGTAAGGATTTAGTTGATGTAGGTTGCAGTGTGTTAACTACAGTGTCTGCCATAGACATGTTTGAGGGCTGTAGCTCAGTACTTCAGGAGGATGTGAGCACCAGTGGGTTAGTAGTCTTAGAAAAAGTATTCAAGTTGGGAACAAACCCGTAAAGAAACAGCTGTGATAACGTGAGGGCTTTGTCTGCAGAAAGTGTAAAGGGCTTTTATAACTTGAGGTACTTCATTTTGAGAAATCTTCAACTGATGTTGTGTCATTAGGAACTGGAAGGCAGTGCCAGCTGTCTCGTGGTGATCCTGAACTCTACCGAATAAACTGAGCCGTGGTAGGAATTCGTAAACGTACTGATCCAATTTCCTTTGCTCAGAATGGAGACCTTCACAGAGATAATTCTTTGTCATTAGTTCCTGAGCTGTGCAGCTATAAAAGCTCCCTCAGACCGGTGGACCTTTGTCAGTTGAATTTAAGCCAGCTGTTCTAAAGACGTAGTGACAGCCGTGAAGTCTGAGTAGCGCACAAAGCTGAGCAGGCACATGCTTCCATTCCATGGAAGTCAGAGTTATTTTCAAAGGGAGTAGCTAAAATTTTTCCAAAGGAACAAGATTTGAAACTGATTTGAAGGTAAAAATGCTTGAAGCTGAATATCTAAATATGTGAGTGACTGGTTCCTAGGGAAATCCATGAGGAATTGTATTTGCTGCTTAGAACTTGTGATAGGCAACTGTGCTTTGAATACTCGTGACTCGTGTATCCAAGCTAAAAGACTTCCTAAATACTGTTTTTACAGACACAGGAAACCAGAGAGATTCTGCACTTTCATTATACTACATGGCCTGACTTTGGCGTCCCGGAGTCACCTGCTTCATTCCTCAATTTCCTGTTCAAAGTGCGGGAATCTGGCTCCCTTAACCCGGAGCATGGCCCCGTTGTGGTGCACTGCAGTGCTGGAATCGGGAGATCCGGAACTTTCTGTTTGGTTGATACATGTCTTCTACTGGTAAGAACTACTTATTCCAGATCATGTGCTATGTCTCTAGAGTTACAGTTTGCTGTGGTATGTTCTGTGAGGTATTTTGCATGCTGTTCCCCATTATCTTGTTCCTATTCTGGTTTGGAAGTGTATTCCAAGGCAGATTTTGTTCCTGACTGGCCATATTGAGTGTGGGGAAAGAGTCTCTAGTTTCAGTGTGATTTACAAAGATAGGCTTTGCCTGCATGGTATAAAAAAATCCCTGGTGTCTGCTAAGTAACAGCGTGGACTATCCTGGAACAATGTAAAATAAATCTAATGCGCTTCCTTTTACAGAGTCAACTTTGCCTTAGGCAGGAGGAAATTGTCCTGACTTCAGGATAAAAGTGCAGTTCCCTTGGCTTTATTCTGTCCCTGTGTGAGAGCAGTCGTACAAAGAAGTCAGGCCTAGGTTAAAATGTCCTGGGTGGGGGTTTTATTTCCTAATTATATTTTCAAAACAAAAAAGGCCAAAAGGGGCAAATACACACCATTTTGAGGCCAAGTGGCTGTCTTTTTAGAGACCCAGTACATAGCTGCTGCTACTGGTTTTGCACGAGTTTATTAACTTGATAATATGAAGGGTAATGTGGGGGTCCTCCTGCAAAATGAGTCGTTGAGCATCTCATCAGAGCATAAAGCTTGTGTCAAATTTTTATCTTCAGATGGACAAGCGGAAAGATCCTTCTTCTGTGGACATTAAGCAGGTCCTCCTGGAGATGAGGAAGTACCGCATGGGGCTCATACAGACAGCAGACCAGCTCCGTTTCTCCTACCTAGCTGTTATTGAAGGGGCAAAATTCATTATGGGAGATGCTTCAGTGCAAGTGAGTCCTATTGACTGCACAGCCTGTTTTAACTCGAGTGGATATGTGGGATGAGCAGAATAGAGAAACCTTTACATTTCATGCTTGCTTTAGCTTCAGTGGTTTTTATGGGGTTCTTAAATACAGTGCTTTACAGTCTGTCACGATCTACAGTGTGGTGTGCAAGAGCCTTCACAAAAGTACCCATGATATAAGAGGTGGCCCTCTGTACTTTACAGCACCATAATTGGTGTGCAGACTGGCTTCACTGGCCTTGTGTTTCACGTGAGATCATAAAAACTTTCTAATATGCCAGAAGTTGCAGTATCATGTTTAAATCTTCTAAGCTTGTTTTATTGCAAGCAGAACTCCAGCAGCACAGATCCTATTTTGCACTATCTGAATGTTACAGAAGTAGGTGATAATTTGTGCATTTATAGCTGTTTTCTGCTGGATGTAGCTGAGGTTTGGAGTGCTTGTGTCTCTGTAATTTCCTTTTCTTCAATGCAAATGAACAGGTAGAGTATAAGGGCCCTGCCATGTTAAAAGTTACAGTATCTTATGTAAAAGAAATGGAGAAAAGCTTAATAGGGCTTTTTCTTCCCTGAAGGAGCAGTGGAAAGAGCTCTCCAATGAAGACCTGGACCCGCCTCCTGAACATACCCCACCGCCTCCCAGACCACCAAAGCGAACATCAGAAATGCACAATGGAAGGATGCATGAACATACAGAATTCCTTCCTAAACATCAAGTAGTGGAGGAAGAGATAAGGTGTTTGGTCAGCTCTGTGGAAGAGACGGTTCCAGATGGCAGAGCTCATTCATCTGTGCCACTGATCACAGACAGGTAACACGTTCAGTTTCCCCGCTTTTAACTGCCCTATGAAGAGTGTCCAGTTGGCTTATGGAGTTGAGAGGTTGTAGGATGTTTGCTCATAAATAGCTTTTCATACAGAAGGGCTCGAACAGACCTTGATCAGCTAGTGTAATAGTTCCAACCCACACTCTTTTTAGTAAGGCTCTTATGCTCTTGTTCATTTAACTCCACACATAAGCCAGAGCCTCTTACAGGATCCTGCTAGTAAAAGAAGTGACAGCCTAATGAGGTGGTTCAGTCTTGATTTACGTGCAGTATATGTTAATTTACAGAGGAGCTCTTTCACTACTCAGAAGCAGTATTAGTCATGTGGCTGAAAACTAGGCAGAAACGTGAAAGGAATTGCAGGCAAAGCTACTTCTGATGAAAGGAGTGGAGTGGGCTCGTGACCAGAGGACTTTCTGCCTGTCACTGTAACCTAACTGTAAGGACTTGCTGTGTACATGACAGCAGCGAAGCCGGGCTCCTGCCTGCGGAACCGCTAGGTGTCACTCCTGATTTACCGGAGTGCTGCGGAAGGGGATGATGCCCGCATGCACTGGTGTTGCTGGCACCCGGCAGGGTAACTAGTTGTATTCAGAGCAACCAAATGAATGGAGAGTCCAGCGCTGAGTGGGTATTTCCCTCCAGTACTGAATGTTTCTGTCTTTGTCCTTAAGCACTAGTCAAGACACTGAAATTCGGAGGAGAACTGTTGGTGAAAACCTGCGTCTCTCACCCCACAAAGAAGAGTCGAAGAAGTCGGAGAGCTCAGAAGAGGATGATGAGAACATGATGACAACCTGGAAGCCATTTCTAGTGAATATATGCATGTTCACCTTCCTGACGGCGGGAGCTTACCTCTGTTACAGGGTGTGTTTTCATTGATGGACGTGCCAGCAAGAGCGACCCTGCAGAAAACACCACCAATTCCATGGGTTTGTAATCAGCTCCTCTGAAGGAAAGCGAATGGAGGCGCCTGAGCCTCGTCTCAGTGGAGGTAGATCTTAGCTTGAAAGGCCGGAACTTTGGTTAGGGCTTAAAGAGAGAATTGATGCACTAGGGTTTTATCTAGCCCTGTGGTCCCAAGAACATAATATTCTAATCTCAGGGCCTTAAAATATTCAGGAGTAAGCAGAGAAAATGCCAAATAGTCTGTTTTCCTTTTCTTTCTTTTTTTCCTCTATTTCTTTCTTTTTTTAGACTCAGTAGTAGAACTACAACACATTGTTGTTTTTAGCCTTTTTTAAAAAGCCAGTTCTTGTTCTTTTTCTTTTGTTTCAGAAAAACTAGGCACAAGTGAAACTTGCTTGTACTCTCCAAGTGTTGTAACCAAATACATGACTTATATTGACGAGTTCCCAAAAACAGAAAAAGAACCCCACATACCTGAAGAATGTACCTTTTTGGAAGGGGAGGGCACTGGGGGACAGGTGTTGTGGTCGGGGTTTTTGGTTTAGGGGTGTTTTTAACTTGCTTCATCATTGCAGACTGAGTTGTGGGCAGTGCCTGTGGTATTGATATATTTAATCCTGGCATAACTGTTCTTAAAGAGCTTATTGTTTTACATGTGTTTATAGAAACAGGCTTCTGCATTTGCTCAGGGTATCCCAACATGTCAAGCTCTTTTTTTTTTCCTTCTTTTCCTTTAATAACTGTATCCCCCTCAGTGACTTTTGTTGCACTCTACTTGCACATGCGCCTATTTACATTGCACCATCCTCTGTAAAGCTGGTTTTACTTTGACATTCTGGGTTAGGAGAGGTTATGGGGAGGGAGAGACACAGGAAGGGAAATTCAACCAAAACGTGAACACCAGCATTGTGCAGCTGGCATTCAGATGGACCAGTGCTTAAACCTCATCATTTGGAATGTAAAATGCAGTTTCACTCTGCTCCATAAGGAATAGCTTCCTGCGAGGGCCGGGGAGGTGACGTGCTCGGAGCCACCGCAGGTGATGAGCAGGAAAGCATTGTGTTAATCCAGAGCAATTAATGCTGTGGCAGCTTCCTTAAGACATAAAAAGCTCAACAGAAGCCATGTTGGTCTGTGGATGAATCGGTTGGCTCACGATGCAAGCGTTCGTGTGCTGCTTTGTTCAAAGCAAAGGTCTAATGTACTGGCTTTAGCTCGGTTGAAGATTCGCTCTTCAGCATCACGGGGCAGATGGTGCGAGGGGCAGCCCTGCACCTCTGCAGCAGGGGATGGGGATGCTGCCCCTGCGCCGCGCCCAGGACTCGAATCATGTAGAGTGCTTGTAAATACGGATTTGGGTGCATTGGTAGAACTGTGACTGGAAGTCAGCATTGCACTAACTCGTAGTCAGTGCTGTTCCTCGTGTATTACCAAATTATCAATAGAATAATAGCAAAGGTGTCTTTGCTCACGTCATGGCGCAGAGGAGAGGAGTAAACTCACTACTGGCGGCTGTAGTGATTGAAACCATGACAGCTGATTCACAACAGTGTTACTAATCAGTTCTTAAAGTCTTTCTAGAGTGATAGCACTTAACCACCATCCTCAGTGCGAGCATCGCTATGGAGTACCTTACGTAAGTCTCTCCACTCCATATTTATTTGTGCAAAGCTGTCTGGGTGTAGCTCTTCCTTCAGTGAATAAGTTGGTGAAGGGGGGGGGGGGTTGGGGGTGGGAGTTATTTCTATTTTGTGTTTTGTTAAGCTTGCATCAAGGGCTTTTCAAAAGTACAATAATAAATCCTCAGGTAGTACTGGGAGTCAATACTTTACCTGTGAGACTGTTGGTCAGACCAGTACTTGAAAGGAGGAATGTTGTAATCAGTCAATATTTAGTTATATTATTGGAAACATGAAAAATGAGTATAGAAAAATGGTAATATATAATGGCTCATCTGTGTATTTAAGATACATTATGTGATTGCTTTGTCCCCACTATTCTCTCCCATCATCTGGTAGAATATTGTTCTAAGGCAACATTTGTACCCCATTTGTATTAAAATGCATGTAAAGTCTTCTAGTGTCCTGATTAAATACCACGTGCTTGAAAGGTGAAAGAACTTATATTTCTGCTTCCTGATGTGCCCAAAAATTATATTTGCATGACCTGATCATTAAGTGGTTGTGGTTCCAAGGGTGTTGCTGAAAGTCCCTTCGGTCAGCGCTAGACTGGTTTGGTGTTTTATCGGATAACATGTACTCGCCCAATCCTTGGCATGACTTCCTATTGAATTCCTGCGTACTCAGTGTAACCCGGTTGTTCGGCATGGTTCATTTCAGCTGAGTAAGTATAGTACAGACATTCCAGAGAGTTTAGTAAGCCCTACTCACACCTCACCCAGGGCACTGGGGGCAGGCAATAGCACAGCGAGTTCAGGGGCTCGCTGCCTGTGCTGCCACTGGAAGAGGAGGAGAGGCAAACCTCTTGTGCCAGAGCTCAGTGGCAGCCTGCTGTGACCTGCAGAGATGCAGCTCCTGCAGCAGTGGCCCTTTTGAAAAGGAAGAACTGGCACTGAAAGAACTGTCCTGTTCCCAGGAGGGAACATGCAATGGTAGAATCATAGAATAGTTAAGGTTGGAAAGGACCTTAAGATCATCAAGTTCCAACCCCCCTGCCATGGCCTGATAGGAAACCAGAGCATCCTTCCTTTGGGTGCAGAGCCATTCACTTGGAAATTACTCTCACAAGAGAAAGCTTCTGCAGCTGACAGAAACTAGTTCTGACCATCCCTCTTGCTGGCTTTTGCCATTTATCCCTCTGTTCCAAACATCCCCTGTCCTAGGATAGGCCGTGGAATGACCCCCCAGCCTGGTGAGCTGTGCGTAAGGTTTATCATACTGAACTGTATGCATTTTTGTTTCGATGTCCTGTATATGTATGTAGTAGTTTGGGTGTGTATATACAGTAGCGTTTCAAAGTGGGTGTATTGGTTAACCTGTTCTTGGAAAATGGACAAACATCCATGTTAAACTTGTTAGAAAGTTAGTGAGCTGCTCTGCTATATGCCTTAAGCAAATATTTACTCATCAGGTCTTTCTTTTTTACAGATTGCCATAGAATAAACTTTTGTAAAAAAAAAAAGAAAAAAAAGAAAAGAAACCCCCCCAAAAGCTCAATGTTTTGGTACAACCGTTGCAGGTCTCTGGGTAACCTGTACAGTTTTTCAATGATTTCCCATACGAGTTTTCAGTTCTCATTTTAGTTGTAACAATAAAAACTCTTTTTTTAAAGAAGGTCCGTGCGAGTGGTGTTGCTTCCCCTCGGCCTGGGGTGAGGGCTGGCAAGGAACGGGATTTAAATGTTACTGGAAGAACTTAGATGTAGGTCAGAGCTCCAGTGAGAGAGAGGTAAGTGAAGCAAGTGCTGTGTCTGGGAGAGGATCTCTGTCTCCCTGCTCTAGTTTTTCCACTTTAAACAGTTGAATTTTGACTACTTTGACCCAGGCAATCAGTGCGATAACACAAGTGTAGGAGCGCTCAAGGACAGGGTTTTCAAAGAGTTCCAGTTGTGCTGGAACTGGCTGCTGCAGGTGGCAGGCACAGGGTGGTGGACCCGTATGTCCCTAACCTGCAACTCACACTGTGGTGGTGGTTGGCTTATTTACCTGTTGGTTTGTATCTTTAAGGGAAGGTACAACTGGAGAAGAGGTGCTTGGAATGAGAGCTATCAGAAGTTGCATGGAGTGGTGTTATATACAGGAGCTTTGTGCAGGCAGAAAGGTGACTGTGCTGCCCTGTCCCTTTCTAAGGGGGAGCCAGGCCTGGGGCAGGGGAGAGCTTCCCAAAGTAGAACTTCTTTTCCCTGCTTTTAGAGAAATCAGTACATTAAAAGCAAGCATCACAGCACAGGTAAGCAGGCTGTGAGGTTTCACTCTGCTGTGGTGCAGCATCACCCAAGCACCACATCCTGCTACCCAGCCCTCCTCAGTACAGGCTCCAGCTGTGGGAGCAAGCTGCACATCTCCAAACTCAACCCCAGCTGCAGAACAGCAGCTCAGCCTGTGTGAAGTGCTGGACCTGTGACAGACCGACCCCAGGAGTGGTGGGTGATGCCCTGCCTAGAGGTAAGATCCTCCTTCCATCTGGGGGTTACTGCCCTGTCTGCCTGTGCCCAGCACTATGGAACATTCACAGGAGCTTGTCTCAAATGTTTTATTAGAATTGTAGAAAACAGGATGAAATCCAACAAATAAATACTGAATAGAAAAAGTTATGTATAAAAATATATACACACAAAAGCCAAACCCTGTCAAGTATTTTACCTGAAGCCAGGCTTCTTTTCATAGTGAGCTCACTGGAGGGTAGCCAATGTTGAGTAAGGAGCCTGACAACACTGTGTAATTATGAGAAGTTTTGACCTATGGCTAAATGAATACATTTTAAAACCAACAACAACACCAAACCAACTTCTCCAGAGCTGTCCGTGTCTCTCAGACCTGCACAAGCCAGGTACAGTAACTGCTGAGGATCCATGTGTCAGTCCTTGCTTAGTCCCCTGTCCTAAGCTGCAATGATGATGCAATTGGCTTGAAGCTTTCCTTATGCAACTGAACTGTACAAGGGAAGGAAACACCAAGCAATACCACCGGATAGTCTTTGATGGATGGGGCAGTTGCTGTAAACGACCTGGTGTCTGCTGGTTTCTAGATGGACTGCTGGAGAGGGATCATTTCTCTCCTCTATAAGGAATAAATAGAAGACTTAATGGAAAAACAGCTCTTGAGCAGGGCAGCTGATTCCAGTAAGATGGGGAGTTCAACTCAACCTGGTTCCATATTCTAAGGGATCCCAGTTTTCATTTGTCCAGCACTTGGTATTTCATCATGTGCTGAGACAGTAAAGAAGTATTCCCACCTGCTTCATGCAGACTGCAAGGTGCCCCTTGGGGAATAGATCTGTGCTTACTTAAGCAGGGCATAAGTAAACCAGATACTGACAAACACCACAACCAGCTCCTCAGGTACCCATGTGTGGCTGTGGGACACCACGATGTGGCTCCTTGTCTCTGTTGCTAAAATACTGTGATTTCGATCTCAGCTTCTTGCTGTACGGTGTCTCTGAGTTCACAGCAAATCCTGTCCATCTTCTCAAAGGCTTGCCGGCCCTGTTCACCTGTGGGGAAGAGAAGACAGCCCACACTGAGGATGAGAAAGCAGCCAGAAACCCTAAAAACCAGGATTCTCTGGAAATGCTGCTGTTGTGACCTTGTTCAGAACAACAAGACCTCTCAGTAGTGAGAAACACATTTCTAAGGGAATAGTTTCCCAAAAACTACTCGAAGCTACCATGGAAAAATCAGGCCGCCTGTAAACACTTCCACATGAGTAACAACTTGGAACATCACAGCTGGAAAACTTGTGTAATGCACGTGAGTCTGAGTGTTTCCGAGAAGCAAGTCTGGAGATCCCCAGAACTAAGTGTGAACTCAAGTGGCTTTGGGAAGAACAGAAGAGGGAATCTGCTATGTCCTGAATAAACTGGACACCCTCCCCAGCAGCTCTGCTCAGCAGTCAGCCTGGGCAGCTCTTTGCCCTCAGCAGAAGCACAGGTACCAATGGCAGCACACAGGGAACACCCGTGTTTCATCACTGAAGGTCCGCTCCACTGCAGGTGTGCTGAGTCCAGGTGAATTAACAGGACATGGGCCAGTGTAAAACCATTCTGTTTGCACTCTACCCCTCCAGTATTCAGAGTGGAACCATTTGCAGAAGAGTGGGAATATCGAGATTAGAACCAGTCAGCTTGTAGGTGGCTAAACAAGATTACCGGACCCAAAGAGGTCTGTTGTTCTTCTGTTTTATTTAAGAGACCTTTCAGTCATCCTCACTAATCTCAGAGCTGGAAGAGGCTTTATTGTGACCTGCCATGTTCTAATGTCCTTGTTACAAAATCTAGGAGAATGTTGCTGATGCCAGGACTACTGTCAGGCAGCATCATCAGTACTACCTGCCACCTTCTTAAGAGGAAGGTTAGTGGCTCTTAAAGCCCTTTATCCTACAGTGATGGCCTCGGTCCTGTTGTGCAGACTCTGAGCCTGTGGTTATTACACGTGGTATGAAGTTTATCTCGGTGTTTATGAAGTAGCTGCTGATAAAAGTTCCATTGTCCCAGATGTGTTCAGGCCTGTTCTGGTTCTGCACTATTTCATGTTACAGACTTACCGAAGGACAGTGTTGTTTCTCTGGCTGCATTCCTCACTTCCTCTGCTTCGGACTGGCACAGCTGGGCAACCTGCTCAATGCTCTCAACACCCTGTGTGAGAACAGAACAGTTTGCAAGAGTAGCTCTTCAGCAAGCAAGCTAAACACATCCAATTCTGACTCCCACCTCTTCTTGCATCCAAGTTCTACTGTTGCCTTCCTTCCCTCCCCACCCACCCCCAAACAGATCAGCTCTGATCATGCTCAGTAATTTAAGAAGGAATGATACTTCCTCTCCTGTTTTAGGGCACAGAAAAAGTGCAAAAGTTCCCAGGTACAGCTCACTGCTGCAGCACCATTCAATCAGCACAAACCAGTCAGGACCTCTTCTGAAAGGGCAGCTGCAGGTTGTGCAAGGGCAGCAGTTGCTTTGCAAAGCTGATTTTGAGGACAAGACTCTGATTTTAAAGGTTTTTTCCAACCTAGCTGATGCTGTGATTTGTTGGGCCTGTCTTGTGACTTGTTTGTAGAAACTGTGCTCACAGTAATGCCTTGTATGCAAACTCACGACCAAACTGTGGCGGCTGGAAAGCTTTACATCTGTTCTGGCAGCTTCTTATAACAGTAACATTTGCATCACTGCTATTTCCTGGCTATAATCAGCTAGTGCTGAATATGAGATTAACTGATTTGACTTTCAATTTCTACAGTTAAAGCTTTAGAACCAGCTCCATGTACAGCTCACTGGGGCTAGTTTTTCTGCCTGTAAGATGTTCCCCAGTCAGACAGTGGCTGTTGTCCTTCACCAACACCAATGCTATAGAAAGTAAAACACTCCTTCTACCGCTGTACTGTGCCTCTCATATCAAACTGAGACACTCCCAGATCCCTGCAGCTCCCTGTGCTGCTGCCTTTTGAATAGCAGCATAAATAGTTTGTAACTTTGGCAATCAAAAAAAATCATTTAACTCCTAAGCTGAGGAAGCTGAAAAAGCAACCCTACTGGCTTAAAACCTAAAGGTAGATACAATTCTGCATGTGGCAGTTTGGGCTGTATACTTACTCTGAGGTTTTTAAGAGCCAAACAAGCAGCTTGCTGAAGTCTTGTGTCAGAGTCAGCTAAAGCATCGGTGTAAAACAAGAGAGCCTGAATTGAAAAGGAAAAGAAAGGCTTTATAAACTACAGCATCATTGCACACTGAAATTCAACCTGACCTAAGCACTGTTGGTGTTACCAAGCTGAAACTGAGTAACATGGACAAGGCACTTGAGTACTGGTGTAGTTTAGGTTCTAGTGAGGAGGTCAGTGCGGACAGCAGCACCGTTCCAGGACACCAGATCCATGTATTTCAGCATCCATTCAGACAGGCCGGGAAGAATTCAGCCCTTACCTTTTCCCTGCAGTTCCGGCTCGCCGCCGCACGGCACAGACAGGCCGTGGCCGCTTTGCTGACGCGGTGGTTGTCATCCAGCTGCAGAAGCCCCAGGAGCCGCAACGTCTGCGGCAGCGGCTGGAGCCGGTTCAGCCGCTTTCCTTTCAGCTTCTTAAGAGTCTTCAGCCGTCCAGGGCACTGCAGCTCCTCGATCAACATCACTGCAAGAGAAAGGGCTGCGTCACCGACAGCTGAAGGCAGTACCAAGAGAAGACAAACCCTTCTAATTCTCTCTCCTTTCGCCACCAGCAGTTGTTCACAAGGGTAAGATACAAGCCAAGTGTGGCAGGAAGCAAATCAGGACAACTGGCCCTTTGGCCATCCTGTCTTCTCTCCCTGGCATTGCTTCATTTCTTCCTATGCCAAGACCATCTGATGAATGGAGCAGAGATTATTTCACACTATTAGTTCATGGAGTGCAGTGAAGCCCTGGGTACATCAAGTACAAAATGCGGTGCTGAAGAACTGCACCTACTCCTACGCCTTTGGGTGTTAGGACAAGCAGATCAGTCCTACAGTAAGGAAAACACCATTAAGCAAAATGCTGTAACCATCCTTGGCAGATCTTGCTGTCAAAGAGAAAAGCCTCCATCTCTTAAAAAAAAGATGAGCTCAGGCACTGGAATTGCAGTTCCAGTTTGAAGAATATCCCAGGACTTCCTCACTGGCCAGCACCACACAGGCCTCAGGCCCGCCACAGATGACTCATCTGCATCAAAACAAGACTAAAGATGCAGCCAATATCAGGACTATTTATAAAGTAATTCTTTTCTGACACAGACGGAGCTGTAAGTGCTGTCACGTGCTGGACTCGTGCTACATGTGTAACCGCAGCTGTAACCAGACAGAGGTAATAGCAAACAACAGTCACACAGAGCTGCAGACATTTACTCAGCCCCTGGAGCCAGCCCTAGATCGCTGCCAGCTGTTTCTGCTTGAACTTCAGACTGTTACAGACCCACTTCTTAGGGCACTTAAGAAATCCATCTTCCCACCTCTGCTTTGTTTTTACCTCGTTACATATGGGAGCCAGGCTTGTCTTTCCTGTTCTAATTAAAACTATACGGTCATAAGGGGAATTAAAATGGAAACAAATTGTCAATGCAGTGGTTGGGCTGTTTTCTGCTCTGAAAGTGGATCCTGAGAGTAATCTGGAGAGCAGCAGCCAGCTGCTGGGCTTGTCAGCTCAAGGAAGGAGCCAAGCACTGCCCTTACCTTCTTTAGCAAGTTTTCCCAAGTGTTTCTCCAGGCTGGTGATGTGGTGCTTCTCCAGGTAGCTGTAAAACTGGAATGAAGTCACCAGTTCTGGTTGGAGGGGCAGGCAGGGGAGCAGCCCATCACAGGTGACAATCTGCTCTAGCAACCTCTGCAGCACTGGAAGCAGCATGGGAAAGAACAAAGAAGAAAAAGAAAGGTTTGTTAAATGTAAACTGCTTCAAACAAGTCAGAGTTGTAGTTTAAAGTGCATAAAGACAGTGTTTAGCCATGCAACAAAAGGAAACCTGAGTGACAGCTCAGTACCTGCTTCTAACTGATGGGGGTATTTCTCCTTCACTTTGAGCATCAGGGTGTATTTTAGTGCGTGACGGAATCTTTCTGCTGAAGCAAACAAGATGCTGCTGGGCTCTGCAAGGTCACTCCAGATCTTCAGGTACTGCTTCTTCTTCTTTGTCTTCTGAATAACTGAAAAATACCATTTTAAAGACAGTGAGCTCTAGCAGATTTTGGATTTCACATGAGAAAAAAGGCACCAGATGGCGTATGTAGAGATGTGTCAGCACTGACTTGTGTTTGTGTTGTGTAGATGGCTTTGTTCAAAGCTGGAGATTTGCTGCCGGTATTTTAGCATCTGCAAGCACTGACTTCACCAGGCTTGGGCTGAGTTCCTAAGCTGTCATTACAAGACCTGAATGAGACACATAGCAGCTCCTCTGCCTTGTGTTCATTCATTTTATCCAAGTCAAGTTTCAGAAGCACTTGGGAGTTGAACTATCTATCAACCTATTTCTATCAACCAGAGCTGTGCCATTTCCAAGCACTTTAGAGACCCTGTCTTACGTACCTTCGCAAGGGGAGAACTCTGAACCTCAGTGCAGAAGCTGAGGCAGGCTTTCCTTCAAAGGAAGAAGAGCACTTGAAGAAGAGCACTTCAGAAGAGCACGTGAAGCAATACCTTGTGGCTCCTTGCTATTATTTAAACCCTTTCCCACTCTTACCTTTGTGTTCTGCATTTAAGACTCCTACACTCTCCTCATCGTGCCGTACCACAGACCTTTGAGAGCTTTGCTCCAGGGAAGAGTTTACTCTCACATCCTTCAGCATAAAATGTGTCGGCAAATGCTTCCAATTAAAACCTGTATTCCTGCCACTCTATTTACCAAGATGAGACCAAAAGTCTTCAGTCTCCCACTGGGGCTTTATCATTTTGTCACCTTCAGCAGTCAATGGAAGTGATTGAGTAGTGGGAAGGCCCGAGGTGGGAAAAACTGCACACCAAACTTGCACATTTGGGCTGTTTGCTTTTATGCAGTAAGCAGAGACATAAAAGGGGATTTTATTGAGGCTGTTACACTGTTCTTTGACTGCAAACTCCATCATCCATAACATCCCTGTTTCCAAGACAAACCAGTTCAGCTACTAGGTCTGAGACAAAGTTCCTGAAATCCTTTCCTTCCTTGCAGAGGCAAAACAAGCAAACAATGAGCCCTGTTTTCCCTGGGAATCCAAGCTTAAGAGCTGGTTTAATTATGTGAATGTGCAAGAAATTCAAAATGAAACCTGATGTGTCTGGAGAAGCTTGGGCAGAGTCACCTGCCCCTCTCACACCTCAGGCATGCCTTGGAACAATGCAGTTACTCACTTTCTTCAACAGACAGATCCAAGACATCACCCAGGACCCGAGTCTGCTCCGACACTTCTTCCAGGATGCTCTTCTGGACAACCTGGGCCACACTGGGTGAGCTCAGTTTCTGAAACACAACATGCTTATCTTAGCAGCTGGAACAAAGGCAGCATCGAGCACAAGATGAATGAGGGTTTGTTCTTGGAATCAATCTCCTGTAATCTATGAGAAAACACACAGCTGCTCTCAAAAGGCCTCTTTGCCCATTATGGGATGGATGAGTCCTGAGTGCGTAGCTGCTCAGCAGAACAGGATGAGTGAATCACAGTGTGCTGGCACAGGCTGGCTGGCACTTGATCCTCCTCCACTCTGTCCATTGACAACTGCAGAGCAGATCAATACTAATTGTTCCACTGTCCTCTGCTGCCCATTCTCATCAGAGGTAATACTTTGAGGATGATAATGTGCTTGAGCACTGTAACTGAAATTAATTGAGGAATGAGGTCTCAGGGGGAGGCAGGAGCTCTTTCTTGCCTACATGCTGCCAGTTTCATTCTAGAAGTAGCAGTTTTCATTCATTAAGAAATTGATCCCCTGTTGTGGGTACACAATTCGACTCAAATCTGCCCTACTGCATTAGCAGCCTGCTTGGGACACAAAGCTACTACCTAGAGCTTCAGCAAAACCCAGAGGCTGAAAGAAAGCAGCAGGTTTGTATGACACATTCTGAGTATGCACACTGCACTTCTGGACTCAGTTTCTATTCTGAGCCTCTTTTTATAAAGGAACCAGCTACGTATTTATTTTTGTAACTGGAATCAAAACCACAGGCTGTTCCTTACCTGCAAAAGGCCTTTGCACAGCTTCAGATGAGTTACCAATAGTGTGTCTAAGTTGTCATCACCTGTAGTTACATCTCTTGTTTCTGTTCTCGTGTCACAGCTCAGGGACTGCAGTGTGTTGTCATTGTACGTGCTGTTGAGGAAAGAAAAGAGAGTTAGACTCATAGCTAAATAAGCTGAAGATGCACAATTTCAGTAGCAGCCTGCAAGCAAGTTGCAGAAGTGCAAACCCTGTGGCATTTAACAGATCTCAGACTTTTTTTATTGCATTGATAACACTTCTTAAAAACATGAGGACTTTATAACTTTTTCCAGTGCAGTAATGCTGGATCAGTTGATCCCACAAAATCCCATCCTGGAGAACCAATACTGGTAAAAGATGCTCCCAGATAGCACAAATTGAGTTGCTGGCTCATCTGCAGCAGGTGAGGTGCAGAAGCAGCGCACAGACAAATCCTGTGGTGTCTCCCAACTCGCTGATACTGGGAATGTAATAAGTCTCCCAGGATCAGGCTCATAGCTCTGGAATGTTCAGTTTCAGTGCACAACTTGCAAAACTGAATTCAAATGAAGCAACAAGTAGAAGAGCTCTGTAAGTTACTCATAGATAGGCCAGTGCTGTCTAGTATCATCCTGATCAGCCTGTTTGCTGCAGACTGTTTCTAGCAGGCCTACATATTAGGCACTTCCATCACACTCTGTGGGCTGTTCTGAATCTCAGAGTATTCACAGCAATTGGTTTCTGCCCTGGACGTTTCCACCAGTAGCAGGTCTGCACAGTTGTTACTCAACTGTGCAAGGCAAGCACAGTGTATTAGGAGACATCCCCAGGATCAGCCCTCCTTACCCCCCATAAGGAAGTGCTGCAGACACGTACCTGATACTGGCTGTCCGGACGCTTCCGAACAACGAGAGCTCATCAGCGCTGCAGTCAGCGTTTAAAAAGTCAAAACTTTCCAGTACTGTCTCCACCATTAAGCTTTCCATAGATGAGTGTTTGTGATGCAGTGGCTTTAGCTGTGATGGAATGGGAGGAAAGATGCTGTTATTTGTAGTTATCAAGCCATTCTGCATGAGTTCTTGGCAGTTTTTCCAGTCACTCCTAATAACAAATCAATTTGCTTTTCTGATTTCATTCCTGCCACACCAGGAAAGTTACCTCCTGCTCCAGACTGATCCAAAAATTGCGTTCTAATTGGATTCAACAATGTTCTTCTGTATTTTGATCTGTCTGTATTACTCTCTGGATTTCCCTGCCTGTTCAGGTTGATGTAAGAGTTGATTTCCTCTGCATCTTGTGCCATTTTCATTTACTCCCTGTTTTAGATCTTGAAGTAACTATCTTAGGGGTCCGTTACATTCCAGTAACAACCAAGAACTTTTATATCAATAATGGACTTCATGGGGCCAGTAACTTTCTTCCCCTTGTAAAGGCTGCTGTGAGAGCACTGGTTAACACCATTTATTATTCCAGACCTCAGAGGAAGCCTTACAGTATCTGTATCCCACATACAGTGCTCCCAGGTTTGCACTATAACCCACTGCTTGCAGAAAGCTCTTCTCCAAGACCTTTCCTCCAAAGAAAGAAAGGTTTCAGCATCATACAACTTGTCAGACAGTCTGAGCTGCCTGCAAAACCTGAGGGACCCTGGAGAAAGGTTTGGTTTGAACTGATGCAGTCATCTCTGGGTACACTAAACCTGAAAACATTAACAAAACTTAGAAGCAGACAAAATGCAGAGGCTGGCACACACTGTTCACATCCTGCTGAGCCCACGCTCGCTTCCACTTTGACTGTAGGCAACTTCCTAATTTCTTTTTCACAGTTACTGACCTGCACACAGCACCTGAGGGCTCTCTCTTGAGAGGGGCTGTGCAACACCGGGCTCCGCTGTAGTCAGCTCTCAGGGCTGTCTTTTCCGAGTAGTGCCTGACCTCTGGTGGCCAAACTTACTTTCTGGGAACATTGCTATTGCTGCATCATTAACTCAAATCCACCACGGTCATGGAACCTCTGCAGTTTTAGGACTAACAGTGGGAGTAAAACTCCAACATACCTTTAATTTATCCCTCAGAGATGAGACCTGGTACTCCAATTTCTCCAGCTGGGCTTGCACCACATTATGTGACTTCAGCAAATTTAACACTTCTTGGAGAGTCTTATCAATTGACTTTGTATGTCCATCTAGCTTTAGGTCATTTGCAGCATTCAAGCTTTTCTGGCTGAAGTCTTCATGCTCTGTCAGCCGGTGGTTTCTGGGCTGATGGAAAGAATCTCCACCTTTGTGACGACTCCGAAAACTCGGTGGGTTACTTGGAAATCCATCCACACACGGCGTCTTCTTCAGGATATCCAGAGTTGTGTGATCTGGAAGAGGATGCTGCCGCTCTTCTGCACAAGTCTCTTGGATCATCACCAATGGCAACGTCCTGTGGTCTAGAGCTGGAGTTGCAGTTCTGGATTCCGTCCCTTTCTGATCCTCAGAGCTGAACGAGTCCGCCTCGCTTGTCTCCGCTGGGGTGCAAGGCTTGCTCCTCCCATGCACATCGAAATCACAGGCAGCCAAGTAGCTCAGTATGCTGGGAGGCTGAGCATCACTTCCATCCGCTTGGCTCTGCCTTTGTTGCAGAACAGACTGCAGCAAACAGATTCAACAGTGAGCATAGAGACAATTGAAAAGCATGAGATACCACCAAAGATAGAGAACTAAGAGAACTGTGGGTTCCTGTTCTTGGAAATGTACACACCCAGCTGATCAAAACCACAGGGCTCTTCTGCACAAGGCAGCCAGGCCAGTGCAGATTGGACAAAAGAAGGCTTGATGGTTAGGTGAACGTATCAGTGATGTTACTAGCACTTGAGATATACGGCAGATTTAAAAGGGTCATATAAAACAACCATTAAACCAAACCCCTCTCTCTTGAATAAATGAGTCAAGTCTTAGGTCTGTGCTTTGCATTCTGCTCTCCTCAGCATACTCACCAGGTAGTATTTCTCTCTGAAGCTGGGAGTATTTGGTGGGGTCCAGTTGTATAATGAGCTTTTCCTGCTACTCACAGAAAACTTGGCAGTGGTTCCAGGTGACAAGAAGAGGTTCTCTGTGTCAAAGGGGCTGGAGAAAGAGGCACAAAGACCCAAGTGTCAGTAAGTCCGGAAAGCACAGAAACATTTAGCAGCAGGAATAGCTGTTAGGATTGAACTGTGACATTTAGTAAATAACACAGGGAATAAAAGGAAAGCAAAACTGCCTCTCTGACCAATACCTTTGATTGCACCAGAGAAAGAGGTAGGCAAAATGACTCTGTGTTTTACACGTAATTCTCAACACCCTTTAGACAGAGAGATGTGCCACAGTCTTGGGAATAGGAGTCCAACAGGCCATAAATCTGAAGCACTCTCTGTCCCCCTGCCATGTCCTATGCAATGCTGGCAAGTACAGCATCAGCTGCTTGCCAGCAGCCACTGGACAAATAGCGAGATGTACACCACATCTGACATAGGCAGGAATTATAACACATGTAATAAAGGAAAACTGCCATGTATTTCCCCCCTGCAGAGCACATAGCACCTGAGAAAGCTACTAGAAAACCCCACCTTCTTATCCTTCAAATATTAATAAACAACTCCTTTGGCTGGCAGAGAAAACATGCGTGCTGGGATATGGCAAGTTGTGTTGTTTATACACAGTTATGGACAAGTCCAGTTCCCAGAGGACACCAGCTATGGTCTAGAAGAGCTTGATGAGTCCCACTCTAAAGACTTCCCACTTACCTGCTACATCACAGCCATTAATTTCCCAACTCCTTTGCAAAGAGTCTAAGGAAACTTGGAGAAACTGGCTCCCAAAATTCAACTCAGCTAACCAGGAGAAGAGCATATTTTAAGTTACTTAAAGCAAGTCTGGGGGGATTTATTACATGTTACTTTCATTCCCCACCGATATGCCCTGTGGCACGAGGAGCGAGTTTGGTTTTCCATTTAGGAAAAGAAGTTAATGGTTTATAACAAATGTGTAATCTCACAGATATGAATGTAATAAGCAAGGAGTAGGATAAAGTCAGCTGCATTCAGCTGTACAGCACAGAACCACTAAAGATTCAAACAATCACAAAGGCTAATCAATTACATGAGTGGAACTTTTGCTCTTCAGTGAAAGCTGAAAAGCGGAGCTCCTGTTCTCCCCAGCTTTTCCTGTTGCACAGCGACAATTCTCAGCAGCATCCTGCAGTGCCACACACCACTGTCTTCCTCAGCATGCAGGTGTTGCCCTCTGAGCTCACCTAATGCAGGTTAATTGTCTACATGAATGCTGTCACCCAGCTGGGGTTCATCAAGCAGGCCAGTTCCATGGAGTTATATCAACCACCATCTGCACTGGCTCACCATGCAGAACATAAATCAGGTTTCTGACAGTGAGAGCCTTTTAGGCAAAGCCTCCTATGTTTACTGATGGAAGAAAATTATGAATCCCATCCATGGCATTTCTTAAGGAGAGTCACAGGGATCCATTCCTCAGATTTTTCATTTTCAGCTTTTAATACAGCAATGCAAAATGACACTTTGAAGGAAAGGGGCAGGAATGACAAGCTAAATCTCTTTTGCCCTTTTTGACAATTACTGAAACCCACTGGCAAAATACCACTATTGAGCTGCCTCCAGCCAAGCACACACTCCCTGTTAATGCAAGATTACAAAGTGAGAGAGCAAAGCAATGGGTGAAGGAAAGAATGAAATCTGGTCTATAGCATCTATTCTCCCCTGGTTGTAAGCTCTTTGGGCATGATACATTGTCTTGTTCCACATTTGTATAGCAAACAGAACACCATACTGGGGCAGAGCTGTGAATCCATCTCTCCCAGCACCCTGACATTAACAGAAGCCAGTAGGGGATTTTCAGGGGAAAAGCACAGGAAATAAGTCAAATCTAGTGGGTTTTCCCCAGACACACACTCAAATCTGAGGCAATCCATAGCTCAGACCTGTCACGCAGCAGACTTCACAAGCAGACTATTGCCTTTAGCTGTCACATGCTTTTCCTTAGTTTGTCTGGTCACTTCCTGAAATCATTGACACAAAAACCTCTGCAGAGGTCAAGTTTGCCAAAACTTCACTATTTATTTCACTTGAAATTGTGGGACAAGTACTTTGCCATGGGGGTCTCTTGTGGCTGTACTGAGAGAAACGGTGGCTAACCATTTACTTTCCACATTCCCCACAGTGAACATTGCTGTGCCTGTACAGTGTTATCCATCAACACCTTTCCAAGACTGAGAAATTCTATTAAAAAGTGAAAGTGGCCCCACATCTGATCATCTTTGTTGCCCCGATTCTATTTCTATATTGCCAAGCATGCCAGCCTTTTGTTATGACTAGTTACAATATTGGCATTAAATGCATGACACTACAACGCCATCCAGGCAATCTGAAGTAGCACAAAACTTTCCCTTAGCTTACCTTAGCACTGTTGCAGGACTTCAGTGTTCAGGACCAAAACACACAACCCAGCCTGACCTTGAAGGGGTTTACAACTCATTGGAGCTCCTGTTTCCTAGATTAAACCAACCATGACATCAGAAGCTTTGAATCCACACACATTTGAGGTACCTCAGCCTTCGCAGCACTGAGCACAGATTCCCAGTGAGATACTGTTTTGTCACAACCATCAAGGCTGTGGAGGGATTAAATACTCGAGGCTTCTGTCATCTCCCTGACCCTGCTGCATTTTTCCACTGGGTGATGTTCTCAGAATGTAAGTAATCAGACAGAGCATATCAGAGCTGAACCCAATTTAGTTCTTAGCCCCACAGAGCCTGCCTTCCTTTCTCGCACTGCCAAGACTGTGTTCTAATCACTCCCCTTCTGTCCAATCCCTCCATGTATTAAAACACCACCATCCAGAAGGACTCTCGGTGGATAGACCTGTCTGAATCCCACTATTAAGCCTGTGAATCCACACCTGCATTAAATCAAAGCACCACCAATTCTGGCCAACTGGATTGAACTCACTGTTAATCATGAGATTTCTTTTTTCCTACTGAACACCAGTGAAAATGCCCACACAACTTGAACAGTGTGGTTATTGTTGTGTTTCACCTACCCCCTAATGCATAATAAGCACCAGCTTCAAGGTCAGTACAGCTGAACCTAAGACTAAGCTATGAAACATCACTCCCACCAAGAAGCACGTTTCCCTCAGAAGCACAGATGTGGACTAATGGCTAAAGATACCTGCAGGAGTAACTACCCAGTCACGAAAGTTTTCATCTGTAAGAGCAAAACTGTCAGTAGATTTGTATCCAGAAAAAACAGACTTTCCTTTCTTATTCCCCCTTAAGGTTTTTTTTCCTCCTACTCCACAAAGCCCTGTGAGCCAGATCAGCACATGCTCAAAGCAGGCAGAAAGCACAAGAGTGGTTCTGGCTGCCTGACACCCTTAGATCCCAGGACGGGGTGCTAACTGAAGTTCTGTAAAGAGAATACAGGCTTTCTCTTTGTCCTCCATGTGAGACACAGAATTCAGACTGCTATTTAGGTTGGCAAAAAAACCAAAGTCTTCTGCCAAACTGGCCAAGAAAGCTGTTCTGCAACAGGCCCAAGGTCATTCATGGCATAATCTATAAAGGAGCTGAAGGAACTTTTGTTAGAGCCCAGAAGACTAGTGGTCTATTTAAAGAAAATATACATTTAGAAGTGGAAGACTGATCCACACTTGGATTTCTCACAAAGCAGGTCTAGATTGAAAGCTTGCCTCTGGGGGAAGTTTGGGCACATCAGCTGGATTTGTTTAGTTATTCTTAAACCAAAGAAAAAGGCAGCTGTTGAGTGCTCTGCCTTTGAAAAATACAAACACCCTGAGTTATCACCACACAACTTCTCTTCTCGGTAAGCAACTTCAATAAACAGGCTGTCAAAGAGGAGCCTGCCAGTTCTGCACAGAGCTGCTCTGGAGAACCCACTTGGTAGGATACACCAACGCATTTCACCAAACTTAAACATAGCAGAGATGCAGAGACAGAGTTCTCATCCACTGAAACATTCCAAGTGGGGATTAACTCCCAAAGAAAACGTGTCACCCCTAACCCTGGTCCCAGCTCTGCTGTTGCCAGCTCTAAAAGCTGGGTGATGGTTGTCCCAAATGCCACAGAAGTGCCCATCTCACTGAGCAAAAGCTGTGCTCCGAGCTGTGAGCTACTGCAGCAACCAAGGGGCAACAGAATTGGAACTGTAGTTTTCTAAAAAATATAGATTTAGTTACAAATAGATTTTGTTTTGGAGATTCGAGCCATTATCTGAGAAACTGCAATATCCCAGAATAGGAAGGGGTTTTTCCTCATACAGTGCCTTTTGCAATAACAATTTCTGTGCATAACTATTTATGCAAGATACTGACAGTGAGGAAAGTCAAACAAGCAGATTCAGCAAAAGCAGACGAAGTGAACTGATCTGTTAGGTGCCATTTGTGTGGGTTAACAAGAAGGGAGTAAAAGCAATTCTTCCAGCCTCTACTCTGAACGTGCCATCTCTCAGTACAGCACTTCCCATATTAGGGCAAAACCAGATTTCAATATGTTCAATAAAGGATTTCTTCTTCACTGCACAGGTGAAGCTTATGTCAGGCTTGAAACCAGGGGAAAAGGGACTTCCTTTACAAGAGTGCCTCTGCAAGGGGAGGGTTCTGTCTGCAGTCCTTTTTGCTCTGAAAAGGTGCATAGAGCTTTTGATCACTTCACATCTAGATTAAAGCCAACACAAGCTTTGGTGGTGGTGTGTGCTTGTTGAAGGGCGAGTGATGACAAATAAGGCATCAGACTTTGCTGGGGAAGTACAACAGCCTGTAAATCCTCTTATGCCCCTCTTCTCTCCTTCCTTCCCCAATATTAAGACATACAAAAGTCAAAACAACATAATACTTTAATTGGCTTTCACCTAAAAAGGCTGTCATTTTAACAGCTACTTTTACTTTAAAAAAAAATCCTAAACATAATGCAACTTGCACCATCCCCACTCCCCACAGTTAGCAATAACTCTGCCATGAGTACCTCTGCTTTCAGATTCAAGGGGGAATACACGCATAACTTGGCATGAGTAAGAGGAAGTTTCATAGGGAATATAATGCAAGATCACAGCAAGCTTCTGGAATGAGGTTTTGTTACCCAACTAATTAGTGGCTCAGCTTCTCAAATAAGAAACAGAAGCCTCAGAAGTCTCAGAGCAGCTGCAGCACCTCACCAAAACATATACTGATGCCCAATGTTAGATCTCAGGAGGAAAAGGTGCCATAAACAACGGGTGCAGGGAAAACTTTGCTGTGCAAGTTTCTCATCAACTTAGAACCATGAGTATGTTTGAAAGTAATTTCCAGATGCTGCTGCCAAGACTCATTTTTCAGCCCAACTGCAAGTACAAATCAATAGTAAATTTCTAGAACCACAGCACGCACAAAAGACCTTCAAAAAACAGTCTGTTGATCAACAGAGCTTTTCTTCCCCCAACCCCAGAAATGCAACCTCAAAACACCTGAACAGCAACTGCAACAGAAAAACTTCTGGCATTGTCGTGGTGGTGGCTTTAAAAGACTGTGATAAGGGTTAAGTCAAACGATGCTTCCAAAGGTAATGAAAAATAAAAACAGGGTATTAAAAACCAAGTCTGATTATAAAATGATGTGGTTATTACCCTGAGGGCAGGAAAACTTTTCTCTAACCAAAAGATCTGTTTGGGCATATTTGGCAGATCGTACATTCAGCATACACAAACTTTGTTATTTTTGGGCAATTCTTAAAAACCAAGAAAGACTCAACAGTTGTATAAGGCTGAGCCATGGATGCATCTGGCCTGCAAGGCACAGCTCCCTGCCCTTGTCATTTAAACACTGTTAGGTTTCTGCTTCTAGATCCACAAGTCGTCACAAAGTGGCCTTTCGAGAAGGTCCTTATCACATAGGTGTGTGCAAATGTTTCTTTGCCATGTTGAATTGGGAAGAACTGAGGGCCGCATTAAGCCATGTGCAAGTGAAGAGTGCCTGCTGGTTCATTGGGTACTTCACTAAGATGGATAAATTTAACCCAAACAAGAGTAAATGGAAACAGGTTAAGAAGTTTTTACTTGTTGCAGACAAGACTCACAGAATGGACTGACAGTCCCATAAAGCAGAAATAACAGCACTACCTCAAAAATCCATGGTGGTGTGCAGAGACTGAAGAAGAAGTTCCAGTGCAGCACCCACAAAAGTCAGAATTTGCTTTTAATAACATCAATAATCCACTACACAAATTGACTTACAGGTTCAAATTATAAAACAATTTAACAAATCACAGGGCCCATGAAAATCCTCAGCTATTTTAAAAGTGCATTTGTAACCAAGCTTCCCTGCAGTGCACAAACAGGCCTTATATTGATAACTGTAATAATCACAGTGCAAATATAAACGTACTAAGTCTTTGGGAAAGCTTCATTTTTAACAAACTGTGGCCTGGTACTAGTGATTGTCCTAAAATTACAAGTATATATTTTTTCATTGTGTATAGAAGCTGTTATTTTCAGTATTATTTCATCATCTTTAAAATAACTGTTCATGTTTTATAGGTGTACATACATTGCTTGGAGCTAGACTTGAACGCTCATTCTGAAGCTAAGTAGAAGTAGTAAGCTAAGTAAAAGCCTACTATCAGCTCACACAGCTAGCCATGACTCTAGCAAAATCAACACATAGAATTAAACGGTGATAGACACAGCTCCTGTCCCGTTCCCCCTCCCCTTCCCAAGGACTGATGCCACAGAGTCAGAGATCAAGCAGAGGAGGTGGGGTTCCTGTTAGGAAGCACAGGGCTGCTATCTACTGCACCTGCTCTGCAAATAGAAAGAGGACTATGATGTTGAATGCTACTTAGTGAGATACTTAGGAGCCTTTGATTTATTTCAACTGTTCAGCTCCAGCTTTCTCTGAAGCTGTACTTACTTCCAGAGGACCTCCAGCTGTAGCTTGATGGTTCCCAGTTCAGTTATGTCCACAATGATTGCCTGAGGCTTGGTTGTAAAGAAGTTTATGCTGTCGCACGTCACAACACCAACTAGAATAGTGGCCAGTCCTCGCAGCTCTGTCACCTGCAGGGACAAGCACATCCATTTTCATCTTACCAGACAATCCTCAGTCATGTGCACAGAAAGAAGAACACTTCAGGCTCAGATCTGCTCCGAGGCCCACAACAAACTTAAAACCTCAGTACTCGGTTTTGGGCTCCTAAACTGTTGAGAGCCAATATCCCCACAAGGAATATGTTGTAGATGGCTAGAAAGGAAGAGAGAAAAGCTGGGGAGAGAGCTGTGCAGCACATCTGACAACAGAATTTGGTGGACTATGATTTTAAGTGAAATTAAGTTTGAAGTTTGGAAATTCTAGCTGTGGTATACATACAAACAGTTGCTATTAGTACAGTCTAGCTTGTCTACACATTGTAACAACACTGTCATAAAGATCTGTATTACAGAGAAGTATATTACCCTACCTACACTAGACTATGTCAGCTCAGCTGCCTAAAGGATCTGGGCACAAATGTCTGCATCCACTGTGACCTTTCTAGTTGTTCTAAGCTCAGCTGAGGACCAAAGTCAGAACTGTGTCAGTTCTCTCCTCCAGCTCTGCAGGCAGTTGGGAGTGCATTAGCAATGCATTTGCAGACCTACATTTTCCCCAGGCTGGCACTTTGCTTCTTCAGCTACTTAGAAAAAACAAATGACAAATCCAGTCAAACACTTGCTTAGTTCCACATGCTTCCAATGCAGATCAAATTGTTTCAGAAGTACATAAATCACACTCAGCACAGAGTTTTAGAATAAGCGACTGAAGTCCATTTCAGGAATTAGTTCCATGCCTGTATCTCCTTTAAGGTGGAGCAGAATTATGTTGCCAGTCTCCTCTTGGAACACTCTTTGGCACTTCTCAATTTTATTTTTTAATTTTAAGCCTGCTATGTATTTGTACTGGGCAAGATGATTAAGTACAAAGTGGAAAGAGCAAGAGGGTGTGGAGAACATTAGTAAGCTTAAGAAAGTCTTTTCATAAGCTGACAAAAAGAATAAAGCTATCATTGTCACACAAAGTAATACAAGGTTTTACAGCTATTATGGGAAAACAGGGATCTGAATTAGCCTCTCACCTGATATTCATTGTGCAGTGGCAGCAAAAAAATGCATTATAAGTACATTTCCAAAGGCTCTTAGGGCAAGATGCCAAAAAGTCTCTCCTATGTAACCCAGTTTTGCTGCCAGATTGGAGGGGAACATTGCAATAGCTGCTTTAACAGCTGCCAAAACTTGAAACTCTGCACTGGCACCGTTTCCTAGTAGAATAGGATCCAGCACAGCCTTCGATCACAGCTCCTTTTAGGTTGACAGGAGTCACGCTGCAGTGTCCAGCCCACAAGAGATGCCAGACTACAGTGGCAATGCTGTTTAAGGATTAACTCCACCTCCTAGGTAAATGCAGGAACCAATGCCAAAGGCAGCTGCACAAGGGTCTATGAAAATTACATACTTCCCTCAAGGGGTACTCATAATGTGTTACCTTCACATCACAGGCCACTAGCACTGGTCCCTTACTGCTACAGATATGATTTTTCTAAGGCACTTTAGAGTTCTGATGCCTTTTTTTTTTCCCCCTAAATAAAGATACCAAGACTGTTTGTACCAGGCATAAGTGCCATTGGTTCTTTGCAGATATGGAGCATCTCCAGATTAAAATACAACAAAAGAATCTGCATTGTCCCAGAGAAAGGGACATTTAAACTACTGAGTCAAAACATACACACATGCAATGGTGTTTTCCAGATACACAATTCTCTTTCAATAGAGAACAGAACCCCAGGTAATTAATATTCCACATGGGTCATAAAATAATATCTACATACACGTCTTTTTGTCTCCACATCTAGACTTGACCTTAGAAAATCCCAGATATTGATCTAGGACATAAAAACAAAACAACCACACACAACAAACATACACAACCAACCACATATGCCAGACTCCGCAACACAGGAAAGCAGATGCACCAATACAGTTACAAGTGCCAAGAAAAACAGAAGTAGATGTCTGTTCAGTAGGCAGAACATTGCTTAACTGCCATTGTTACCTGTCTAGGAAAAGCAAACTACTTAAGAGGTTTGACAAACATCTAGCAGCCTAACAGGTAAGTTGTAGGGTAGAAGACCTGTTAACCCATTGATTCCAATCCAACCATTATACACCACACCTTGATTTCAAGCTTCTCATGGAGATTCGGTATAAAGATCTTTTCTTCTTCATCCCATGTCTGGCTGTCATCAGTCTCAATCTTGCCTTTCAACCTCCATTTTTGGCGCCCCAGTCGCACAAACACCTAGAAACCACCAAAGAGAAAATGATGTTGGGTCAACATATCCCAGAATGATCCCTTCAATCCATAGGCCTCACATTGTGCCAGTACTGCAGAAGTGAAGCCGTTCCTTTGATCACTATACATTTAGGAACTTCCATAAAGCTAGAAAACTAGAGGCAGAAATGCAGATTGCAGGTTTTAACACTTGAACTCAGTACCAAATGACATGTCCCACCCATTCTAGAAGAACTGCAAACCTATGTTGCATAGTAAGTGTAGGGGTACTGAAATAGAACGCACACTGGAATTCATTTGGAACTGTTAGAAGTAGGAAAGCAACCAAGTAAGATCCTTGGATGCATTCAAATCATGCCAAGGGCAACCCAGTAAGATACTAGGACGCATTCAAATCATGCCAAAGGCAACCTTCCAAGAAACAGACAGCAACTGTTATTTGATTCCAGAGCAACTCTAAAGACAAAGACCTGACAGGTTTGGTTTGATAGACAATCACTGCAGTCTTTCAAACCCCCTAACTCTTGAATCACATCTTTCCCTCTTCAATCTCGGGGAGCAGAGCAACTAGTGACTGTGCTAAAGCACTTTCTTCATCAGAACAGTGCAGTTTTATCACAGTCCACTTCCTGCCTGCCTTACACATGTTGCACCTTCGCTCTCCTGTTCCTCCACTGCAAACTCATAGCAGTAAAATAAAGGACAAAATGAATTGCTGTATACTGCACCTCATACTGGTCCCCTGGGCAGAGACGTGCAAAGCCCACCAACCCTGAAAAGAGAAGGAAAATTCTAATACTTGTAGAGTTTTACAATGTCCCGCAAAGCCTCAGCTTGCAATAAATAAAGCGACTACCTGGCTAACACCCCCTTGTGCTTAACTGTGCAGAAGCTACACCACTGGCCCAAACTACTCTTAGAAGGGCAAACATTAATTGAGTTAAAGAAAGAAAGCTTGTCAGATTTTGTACTCAAGTATAGATACCATTGCAGACATGGTTTATGGCACTAAAGCAAACATTAATTTCCCAAAGTTCTATTAAGGGTCTCATCCAGAAAGCCAGTGGAAGCAACTGCCATTAAGTAAGTGTACTCTCAGCTGATAAGATTGTTACATAGGAAACCCCAAATCAACTGATGATTCTTGAAAGACACAAGAATGAGCATACCTTTCATCTTCAAGTGAAACTCTCCCAAATGGACCTCCAATGCCCCTTCTATAAAGCACATGTCCTAGAAGAAGGAATGAACAGTTGCTGTGACTGAAAAGCAGCACAAAGGCTATTTTCTTTAATGACTTCTTATTAAAGGACACACAGTAACATCTTCACTAGGGGAAGCTGATAAAGAGTCCATTCATGCTACTTTTAAGATAAAAAATTATGATGTTGCTCCACAGAAGAACGTAACTACTTCAGCAGTTCACTGACAGTTACCTTCCACTACTTGTTTTGTAAAAATAGCATAGCTTATTCATTATTCATTTCTCATCCCATTACTTCCAGTAGAAGTCATAGTGGACCCTAGTATTAAAGCAGGAAGTCAAAGGACTTTTCACTTGTCTTTGCCAATGCATGAGGCCCAGCTGAGCTGGGGCAAAAAAGAGAGGCACAGAATTCAAGTGCTTTCCTGTGAGGCATTTATTTACCGCACAAACACCATTAAAAAGAAAGCCAGCTTTAAGACCTAGTACGCTTTTTGCTAGGAAACATTCCGGTCTTTGTTACACGTGTATAGTATTCCCTACCTCTGTGCACTCTTGGAAGTTCTTGTAAAGCTCCACTAGACTCTCTCTGGAGGCTTTGGTGGAAGGAGACAAGGAAAAGGCATGTTTCATATTTGCAGCCCCATCTCGCAGTCTGCACTGGATACAGTAAGCTTCATAGAGTTCCTCTACCTGTAAGATTTGGAGGGTAGGAGAAGAATGAACAAGAATTATCCTGGCAATTTTAGTAAGTTCTGGAAAGAAACATCAGCAGTCTTTCCTGGTAAAAAAAAAAATCCAACAAAATCCCGCTATCACAGCATTGCACAATGCTGTAGCTCCTGCATTTTACAGACTGATAATAAGAGTGCTACAGTTTGTAGACATTCCTGCACAAAAGCATGGGATATTGAGAAACAATCAGCTCTGCTGCTATCAAGACTACAAGACAAGTACTAGACTAACAACTCATTCAGGGAAAAATGGCTTGGACAGCAAGAAACCAATTCTGTCAATACAGATTAAAACACCTACAGTTATGTCAGGAAGGAGATTTCATTCCTTTGGAAGCAGAGGGCAGACAGCAGACATTCACTCCACAGGACTGCCCATTTGGCCCCTTGTGCGGAGGGAGGAGAACATGTAAGTATCCTCACAGCAGCATTTTCTGAATAAACTGGCAGGGTGTACAACCTGGTTTCACAGGCAAACACAGGTTGGGCTGTGCCCAACATTCAGCCTGAATCCAACCATTCAAGAAAATAAATAAATAAAAGTCCCCTCCTCCTGTAAGAAGAGTGGTTGCAGCTTTCAGGAAGCCCCAGCACTACTCCCCTTCAGGTGAATTAAAATATTTTCTGTTTAGATGGCTTGCTTATGTAGCAGTGCAAGATCTAAAGCCCCCTTACCTTGCTTATGTGAAACTCCAGTTTTCTGATGTACCTCTCCACCAAGCGGATTTGCTTTTGAAGAAGGGAAAGAGAGGGAGTCTTGAGAAAGTATTTCTTAAACATGCCTTTAAGTAACACAGCAGACACATCATCCATTTTTCACTGTTTGCAACATTTCATCTCATCCTCAATAGTCTTACCTTATCCAGGTCATAGTAGAAAGCCTGAAAGGAAAATAGCAGAGGCTGAACAGAAGAGCACATGTATTTTGTACATATTAATGATACTTTCCTATTGACTACAAGACTCACAAGGCTCATCTGAAGTTACACTAAATTAAGATGCATCATTTACTACAAGGAGACATGCCAACATTTTCAGAAGTAGTTTCATTTTCTGTGCATGGTTGGTTGGTTTCTTTTTGCAGGTGCTTTAAATGAGACAGAATCTTACTACCATCGACAACAAGGACCTGGACATTGGTGACGCCACATGGGAGGTTTTGGTTTCTCCATTTTTTTTAAATCTAGTTGTTATTTCCCAAAGGAAAGGCAAAGCTGGATGTGTGACTTGTCTTTTCATTACCCCTTTTGCTGAAGGTACTTCCAGGGTGTTGTGAACACAACAGAATGAAGGACACATTCACCAGCTACTGAAAATCAAACCCAGTCTTTATCACCATTTCTGTCCACCCAGAGTCAGTTCCTGAAGCCCCAGGTGTGAGAGAACATCTATTTCTGTGGCTTTATTTTTAAAGTATTTAAGTATTTAACATTAAAAGCATCTTACCAATCTGGAGTTCCTTTTTGTATCTTTGTGTCGACCAGAAAGATAATCCAGTTCAGCCTGGTGTGCTTCCAAGTATTCACTGGAGAGGAATAAAACCCAGTGTTACATTCCTCTGGTGCATTCATTATACCATCTCCCCAAAGAATTTTTCAGCAGAATGTTAAAGCAACTTCCTTTGTTAGAAGACTTCTCTTGTTTTACTCTCTAGAGATATGAATGGCTATATAAAGGGATATGGCTCAACAGACTAGAAAGGGTATTTGTCTATGGAAAACACCCTAAATGCAAAGTCACTCCTCAAGCATCTGTACACAAGTGCCAGAAGATGCTGGTTACTTGCTAGCTAACATTTAAAGATGTTGTACATTAGGAATCCCCCTCAAGATGTTGGACATTACAGTGCAATTAAAGAAGGCCACCAACTCCATCTTACGAAGTCAAAGAACTGCAACAGGAAACACTTGAACTACAAAGCTGAGCTCACAGAAGTACTCCATATGTAAGGCAGGACACATTCAGTGTTTTAGCAAACAGCTGAATAGCACCTTTTAGTACATGAGAATTTCTTAATGTAACCATTACATTTTCCAGAATTAGAGCTATTTTGCAAGGTGTGAAGCAGCTGGTGCCAGTTGGCTTCTGGAGTTGCTTGCAAGCAAGGATTGTCCCTTAGGAGTTCACACAGAGACTTAACCTATTTCTGCTTAGACTATCTTCTTCCAACTCTGCTTTTAATACAGAGCACACTTAGGTAACTTTTTCCTCTTGTGCTTAAAAGAGAAAAGAGTCACTTGGTAAATACTACATTATAAGACCCAGTCTCTGAGCAGTCAAAATAACTTTGTTCTAGACAATTTCACTTCTTCACATCTGCTTTGATGCATTTACTTTTCTTACTGTTTAAAACCAGCTCCCCAAGGCAGCCAGTGTCTCCAGCATTGAGTGGTCTGCTCTTTACACTTGCCTATTAACAGCTTGGTGCAGAAGTAGCCAAGGCTGGTAGCAGAACAGAATTCACTTACCTTTTAGAAAAGCTTCCTCACTTTTAGATTTAAGTACATTAGAATTGCCAGCTTGATTAAATGGTACCCAGATGGTTAACAGAAGAGTTATTTTCTGTAGCTATAAAGAAGCAGGCACGTAAAACATGCTCTGTACTAAAAATTCAAGTCACTCCAGCACCAAGTGGACTTAGTCTGCATCTACTTAAAATTTGGACTTTACATTGCTATTTGATACAGTTGTTTTCTGTAGGTTAGTCAATTAGCTAGCTCCTCAGTTTTGGCAGGAATCTGACCATGTGGCATTCACTGCAGAACTGGGAACAAATTCTGATTCACTTTATGGTTTCTCTTCCCTAAGCTCTGATAAATTCTAAACTCTGCAAAAACATTTGGTTTCATTATTCGATTTCCACTAATAAGACATTGACTGATATTTTTAGGGCTAAGACTTTATAGCCTTTTATCAGAACAAAAATGTGACACATCTGAGTTTACAAACTATCATTACAGCACGTTTTATGTTCTCTGCTTAAGAAAACAAACTATGATAAAATTAATATAGTAGCAAAATTCTGAGGACAGCAGTAACATACATGAATTAGTAACATACTGTTAGTAGGATGCCAGCAGAAAGAGCTACTGGGTTTACAAATCCAAGGAGAGGTATTTTATATTCCCACAGGTAATTCAGGGTGTAAGAAAGATCCATCAACATCAACTGTAAAGATGCAAAATGTGTATTTTGATATAAAAAGATTTGAGGACTCAGTTAAAGGTTGATGAGTTTCAACCACTGATGGAGGCAAACAGCACTTCCCACACTTCCTGCCTGGTCTATAATAGCTGCCATTTCAGCATTGAATAATATCAGCATTTCTATGAGGTAACTGACAGCTTCCCCAAAGCCAGAATACCCTAATTCAAACTGCCAGCCCATCCTTTGAACTCTACTGTGCCTGCTGCATGCATCCTACTTCTGCCAAATGGGAGACAATGAACAAAATTGGTCTTTGGCCTTTTCACTGAAGTCTGTACTGATGCAACATTTGCTGTGCATATAAACCATTAAAAAACAGTGCTATATTTAAAGCAAGATAATGTTATTTACATTGCCATAAGAAGATGGAGCTGTACTACAGCTCTGTTTCATCACCTCAAGTCAGCTGAAGTTTTCAGGTGGATCTGCTTAGACCTTTACAACAAGCCACACAGAGATGAAAGAGTATTTCTGAACTCCAAAGCTGAAGTCTATTAAAACAAAACCAACCAACCAAACAAAAAACCAAACCCACAAGAATATCTAGCTCTAATTAGCACAGGGAGAATAGGAACAGTTTATGAACCAGCCTCCCACTGTGTCCTCACAGGACACACCCTCACTTTCAGACTCAGTCTTAGGTCAGTTTTTTGAGTCAAAGCAACTCTACACAATTCCATTTCCAGAAGTATTCTGCCAATCACCCACCAGATCTGGCTCTCCCATCCCTATCCAAGTCTCTCCTTTATCTGCAGACTTCCTGCCTGCCACCCTGCATGCTCTGAAAGCCTCCCTTCCTCAAGGGAGAGCTCAGTTGCTCCCCTGGAGATGAGGAATCTCCCTACAGAGTTTGATCTGTCACTGCCCTTTCAGAGAACTGTTACAAACTAGGAACAAACAAAAACATCAGAGCGTTTTGTCTGCAAGCAGACTGTCTGAGAGTGAATGAAACTTGTTATACAAGGTCCCAAGCCAGTGTCTGGGAAAGTCATTACATTTGTTTAGAGATGGAGACAGAACAGTGATACACAGACTTAAGCAGCACAACTGGGCGAGGCAAATTACAATATTTGAAAAGTCCTTACTTAAGTCCTTTCTTCAAAGCTTCAAAAATTTTCTTCACCTGCAGTGGCTTTGGATCCCAGATGACTGCCCCTTTCTGCAGGGAGTTGTAAGCCTTGGGGGATTTCAGTGACATTCTTGATCTCACTGAACTTCTGCCGAGAGATTTTCTGTAGAAAGAGAAAAGAAATATGGGAAAGATGAAAACCCTATGACCTGGGAGAAAAGATGCCTAAGCCACAAGGCTTCCAGGCTACAAGTTGTATGTCCAGTCCCATATACCTTTACTCAAAAGCACAGAGAAAATTTTCACAGATAACATTAGAAAGTTAAGGCAGAAAAGTTAGTGCAGAAAAGCTGCAAGCTTTCAGTGGCTTCAATAATAATCATTTCACTATAAGAAATGTCTCCTTCTCCAAGCTTGATGCAGACTCCAAGAAGCCTCCTGGTTCTCTCTTTTATCCTTTTTTAAATAAAGAAGGATCATGCATATCCCTATTTCTTCAGGACAGAGGGGGGGGAACACAGCAAGCAAGAGGAAAGATCATTTTTATAATGGCTAATAATGTTCATACTGATAGCAGTCATCTTAACGGACACACATGGAAGCTAGCTAAGGCCCTGTTTCTGTGTGCACACACAACAGTTGTGTCAACTATGGAATTAGCCAAGTAAGCCATGCTGCAGGACAAAGGCATTCCCATTCTGCACCTCTCAAGTGTAGAGACCTACAAGTCAGGAAAACAAGGCAACAAACTTTTGAACTGCTCAAGGTCTAAGTACAAAGTTAACATAAAAAGCCTTTAGAATTAGCTATTTCTTTGCCTGCATTCACCGTCGATTTAAATGATGGTTTAGAGCCCTACCACATTTTAGCAAAGCAAGCTACCAAGCCCAGATTTCACACAAGACATAATTATCCAGATTGCATACAAGATACAATTATCAAGGTGTTTTCTCAGTGTCTAACACCTCATTTCCTTTTAAAAGCAACTGCAAAACCAAAACTAAATATTGTTTCTAACAGAAGTCCCATGCATAGGATTTTCTGTACTAATCTAAAGAGTTAAAACACCCCCATTAGTTCTATATATCTACAAGATTTAAAACACAAAATAAACACTATTCAAATAGTTCTTTCATATTGTCAGATTCCTGCCTGCTTAACCTCTATACATACACTTCTCTAACTCTTAACTATTTTTTTATAGTTTTGTTATTAATCTCTGCAAGTCAAGCCTCCAAAACAACATTACCTAAAGAAGTTTCCCATTCCGTCAAGCCAACTGGTTGCTCTTAGAGAAGCTTTCTACCTTCTCTATAATCTCTGCCCTAAATCCAGCACACCTGAAGAAATGATATCAGCTTAATACTTTGCCACTGTCTGTCTTAAATTCTAAGCATGTGACTGGAGGCCTAAGGATATTGAGCTTGGTGATTAAATCCTAGGCCCAGCACACCTGAGGGCAATCCCCAGTCCTGTTACAGAAACCTTTGAGTAACTACTTTAATTACCCATGTGCTACATTTCCACTTAGCTCCATTTTTAACATATAATCTGCCCAAAAATCTGATAAAATTAGGGGTTGCCAAACATTACTGGACATGTAATTTCTTCACCCTGGTGATTACCTTGGTTTTTATGATGGCTTAATGTAAAGCATTAATTAACCACACCATTTGGAGCTCAGGTTACCTATAACGAGGAACACAGCTGTTAAGTTAGAAACCTACATTGTTTTCACTGAGCATTCCATGCAAAGCAAGAGGATTTCAACAGGAATAACGCTGGGACAGTCTATCCAATAACAGCAGTTGCAAGAATCTCCTAGAAGGATCATTACTTAAGATTCTTTCATGCAAAGAAGGCAATAGTATCCAGTTTCATGCTTTAGACGAGTGCACTATTTAGCAAGATATCATATGGAAGATACAAGATAGTGCTAGCTTTTGAAATTAAAAAGCCCAAATTACTCCTGGGTTTTGTCTGGTTGTAGGAAGGAATGGACTTTGATATTTACCTTCACAGTTTTGGATGGCAAATCTTAAATTCAGGAAATCATTTCCTTCAGTTGAAAATAAAGCACCTAAGCACGGATAAGTTGGGATTTAAAACTCACTGTTTTCCTCAGTATCTCTACTGACTGATGGAGCCCATACATACTCAGTGCACTGATGTTAAGTATCCCATTTTCATACATTTTCTAGAAAAGTGAAGTGGCTGACAAAGGCCTTTAGGGACAGTAGCTGTAAGCTAGATGCTGTGCTGCTGCTTTCCCTTGTGAACTTAATTTAAATATCAGATTTCACACTTTATAGATAACAGTAATAACATTTGCTTCCTGTAGAGACCATTGTAAAGAAAAATGAAATAGTGTGTCTGACAGAGAGCCTCAAAAGGAAATTGCTAAAGAAATACAAAAGTATATTTAGCATCTGCTTAAAAATCATCTCCATGTGGACCTGATTTGTGTGTCATCCTTTGGACAGAGCTTGCATAGGGCCCCTGCAATCTCCTGCTGTGTTTTGCAACAGTGCCTGGAGGACAGATAAGTTAGGAAAGGGTGATTAAAAGATTTCTTCACTATGCTGGGAAAGGCTTTTGGGTGTTCACTGGGCTGTGATTGAGCATTTAGTAAACAAATTTTCCTTATTGTGGTGATTCCTGAACAAAACTGTCTGTCTAAACACTTAAATAATTAAAACCAACATCATAAACCAAAATGCGTAGAAAGGCATTTCACAGCTAAAAGCAACAGAATAATCTTAAGGAATATATGAACTCTTCTGTTTGGAGCATTCTTACCCCACTGGACTGTGCCTTTGTTGAAGAAACAGCTGTTCAACAGTTTTCCTGGTAAATCCTTTCCCTGCTAGAACTCTCACTATGGACTTGAGCTCAAGTCTGTTTCTCTAATTTAATGTCAGTGTTTTTCTCAAAACCTTAGTGATTGGTGTGATTTAGCTGTCCAACCTTTGCTAGGTGTAGTATTATCTTTCAGCTTCCACAACAAATTAATTTAGTCAAATGTGAAGACTTTTTCTTGCTGGAATTGCGTTTTTGCTCATGCTTTACCATGCTATGTTTAGCTGAAAGCTTAATTCAGTCCTTTGGTTCTTTGAAAAGATATTTTATGACATGAGTCAGGTATTTTACTGGCACACAATAGGATTTTTTGAGCACAATACTTCTAGAAGCATACTTTCCAATGCTTCTATATGATACTGCTAAATGATTCACTTTGTTATTATTCTAGCATGCATTGGCAGTCAGAGATTATATTCATTTTCCATTTATGTGTCATATCTTTTAAAAGCACTTGACAGCCTATAGAGGGATCAGAAAAAGAACAAGAGCACTTCTAGTGGAAAAGCTGCAGTTATCTGCATAGAGCAGTGCTACACAACAAGTTATGATAAGCAAAAGGGAAGACCAGTGCAGGATGGTTTAGCAATTATGAAACTCAACTGAAGACTTAAAGACTGGACTGCAGCCTTGGCTATACTGTAGACCTGTCACTGATAGCAGTGAATTTGAAGTGGTCTTCTTGGCCTCCAGTATTGCTCTCTTCCTCTCTTTTGTGGCATTGCCAGAAAGAAGCCCTTCCTCTCATGTAATGCTGCTCTGCTTTAATAACCCCAGGGGAACTTGAGTTGGGTTCAGTTACATATTTTGCCAGGACTCACCACTAACATCCCCATCTTTATAAAAGACTATGAGATTTTTAATTACCATAACTACCCCCAAGGTTTTAGTCAAAAAGCATCAGTTACAACTAGGCTGCTAGCAGGAAAGGTCACGTAAATGGACACTACTAATAGTCTGATACATAGACTCTGAAACCCAGCCATCTCTGGAGTACAGTGTGTGTAAGATAGTAAGGTGTGAAGTACAGCTATTTATCAGTGAGCTATGACAACACTCAATAGTTTTAAGATAAAAATGAAGGAACAACTTCTACACATAGATACCCTAGGTTAAACAATACACAGTCCCTAATGTCTGCTGCCCAGATGATCAGGTGCTTTACTTTTTGTGTTACTTACGCCAGTTTTCTGCTTTGCACAGTGCTGAAGCCAGTGAAGGAACAACTCCTGCTGATACCACCCCCATCACCAGGGGACACAAATGTGAGTTTGACCGACATAACTGCCAGTCAGTAACTCCGTCAGCTTCTGCAATAAACAGAAAAACAGATGAGAAAAAACCTTCTTGGCAGTCCTGGTTTGTGCTGCTGCAAGTGCTGAGCTGCATGGAAGTGGAAAGCCAAACCAATAGACAGTAGATTAAATAGAAAAACAAGACCTGTCTGCTATACACGTTTCCTCTGTTGTCATCCACAATACAATTAATAAGGGACTGAATAGTCTAAAATGAAATCTCTTATGCCCTCTTCAATTTCTGATTGATTTTACAAACTCACTATGTAAAGCCAGATAAGCCTCAATTCACAGGCTCTCTACATTTCTGTAATTGTCCCACTGCTTAAGGAGTTCAGGCCAACCACTATATTTCCAAATCATTATGAATGCCAAAACAATACTTAAGCTCCAGACTTAGTCAGGTCCAAAAAGCAGTTCTTTGCATCTGCGCAGACCCACACTGAAGTCAATGGTAGAACTGGCTGAGTGTCGTACTTAAGCCCAAGGCAGAAGTCTACTTTCAAACAGTAAACTTCAGGTTCATACTCCTCCTCTGGCAGGATTTCTCTTGGATTGCTGTCCTCTGTTTTCCATCAGTCAAAATCTTTTGCTTTCTGGAGAATTGTGTTTTCTGCCATATGTCTATAGAATCCAAGTTACAATATAAGTAACAGACATATCCTTCAAGCAGCTGTAGAAAATCACCCAGACAGTTAATATACAGAAAAATTCCCTTCCTTCCCCCCTCAAGCTGGTGTAACGTAAACACCACAACTGAGTAAAACCAAGTAAAACAAAAAGCTGGGGTATCTATTTGTAGAGAGAAGAGCAAACTCCAATGAAGAGCTCTACATGATGCACACAAAAATGTCCTGCATTACAGAAAGTGCTCTGAAAAACAGTGCGCTCCTAATCTATCACAATAAATACTGGAAAGAAAACCCTGTGCCTGACAGTATCCCATCACTATGGCTACAATTAGTGAGACTAGAAGCCCAGAAATGTCAAAATGTTAAGATAAGACTCTTCTCCTGGCTCTGCCACTAACTTGGAGAGCAACCTAACTCAATACTCTTCCAGACTGCAATATAAAGAATTGTATGGTTAAATATACCTCCCAAGAGGGGTGAGATTTGAGAGTGTTTTGCTAATTCTGGGCTAGTCTACAAGTAGAGGGAATTACTGTAAGTGACTATGCTTTAGGTATCACTATCTACCAAAGCAGTAATAGAAGTTGTCATGGATTTCCACAAGCAGCAATCTTGCAGTGAGACCTGCCTATTTCATTAGCTCCCTGGGCTGAGGCCTAACACTCCATTGTTCTACAGGCTGTGCCAACCTGCTAATCCATCTGTGAAAAACAGGCAGAAGATTTAAGAGCAAGAGGTAATAATGGCAAATCTGAGCCAGCTACCTGTTTGCAAGCTACCTAGTTGTCAAAAGAGGTGCTGGGCATGGCTAGGTATTTTGTATCTCAGTGCATCGAAATCCACGTAACTCCATAGCTTCAGCAGTATCAATGGAAATCTGTTAACACGGAAAAAATTAGATGCCTCTTAATCATCTTTTAATCAAACTGTACAGCACTTATGTTCTCTTGCTTCAAATGGATGCCTCCTCTACACTCTTAATCAGAGACTGTACTTGCATCATAACACAGCTGAAGTTTTGAAATATTTTCCATTCTTTCCTCTAGTTTTCCGCTGCTTGTAAGCCTGTGAACAGTCACCCCATCAAAAGGATCGTTAGACTGAAAAAAATATGCAACTTACTGAAAAATGTAATTGCATAATAAGCTGCTACAGGAAGAAATAAAGGGAATAGCCTCATGGTTATTGACCACATCCCTCATCAAGGCTAAGTCAGATTCCCAAGATCTATTCTTCAGCTCTCTAACCTGGGAAAGTTAATTCATGGGTAAAAGAGAGGAAGAAAGTGCAGGGAAAGCTTTCCTGATTTCATAGGACTCCTAAAGCCTGCATAGCAGAAGACTGAAAGCGTGTAGATATGGAACAAGCAAAGAGGCAGACCCTTGAGAGGCTCAGGAAGTGGAAAATGATGAGGGGACTCCTGAGGTAAAACTCTGTAGTACAGAGCTCTAGATGTGAAACATTAGGTTGGAAATGTACAGACCCCCCAAAACTCCATTGGTGAAAGAAAGAAATTGCTTAAACTGCCTAGACTTGATCCTGTTGCACACATCTTTATAAATCAAATAGAATTCTCCAAGAAGATGTCCTGTTGCAAATGAGGGATGAACGGGACCTCACTTGTGCACAGCCATAAGCATTTTAAAATTCTCATGGGATGTTTGTTGAACTGCACAACGCTCAGGCCTCAAGGCCACTGACCGGGTCATGTCCTCCTGTAGCTACTTCCAAAAGCAATTCATAAGCACATTTTCACATTTCCTTCTTGTAAGAATGAAGAGAATTTAAATAATGTTAGGAAAGCACCATTAAAGGGGTTATCTTTCTTTCTTTGAAATAACAGCAACAGAGTCAAATACCACTTGTATGTATTTTTTGTAGCGACCTACAAATCTTACAGATCACTTCACACTTCTGAGTAGAAGACCATAAGTAGGATGTCAAGACAACATTTTATTTGTAAGAAAGATTTATAAATGCAGTTGTTTGAACAGAGGGGTTTGCTAGCCAGAGTGCCTGTACAGAAGTGTTGAGCTATGTTACAACTGCTCCTGAGAAAAAGCATCTGGACACATCTCAAATTCAACTCTCCCTTTAGGCTAGAAATAAATCAGGTAAGGACCTCTGACAAAGCTGAGTTCAAATCTGTCTTCAAACCTGTAACCTCTGCTGTGCAGGGCAGTGTCTCCAAATCTCATAAACCCAGGGATTATACCCTGGAGAGCAGAGGAACTTCCTCTCTTTTAGTCTTCCCCCAAAGCACAGTGTGAATACAGTAGCTATCATGGCTGGCATTTGTAGAGCATAAAAATACCAGGCCAAACTGCAGGAGTCTATTGCTGGGGCAAGAGAAACACTGAACTACTGATAAAAACAAAAGGAGTCTTGAAAAAGTCTTATAAAGCTTGTGAGTCTCAAACAGATCTCCCAAGTGCCACGTACTAATTGACTCAAACATTTTAATACAAAGGATTTTGTAAGACTGAGAATTCAGGTCTTGGAAATGTATTTCTAATACAAATCAAATAAGCATTTTCTTCAAATTAAAAGAGTATGTTTGTCCCTGTTTCAGTGATTTGCCATATTAAACTATTAGCATTTAACCTGCAGTGTTACCAAGCATCCAGGCACACAGAGCCAAACATTTGACCTTCTATGCAGCCATGAGCACGCTCAAACTGCATGGTCTGCTTTGTCTCTGTTGGTATTAGGATATTCCTCAAGCCAAAGAACCTTCATCCTCCACAAACAAAAAACTGGTGTCTGTTTGTGTTTATGGCTAAACTTTTCCAGCCCTAGTCACATATTTAATTGTTTCTGGGCACAATGGTTTCAGCAATTTTATGAGGAAAATATGACTCACTGACTTCTTGCAAAATATTTCTGCTTGTGTTTTGTATTTTGAATTAGTAGGCATGTTTTTCTTCTAGTACCTCCAAGAGGTTCACTTGAACTTGGTGAACTGTGGCTAGAGTAAGGTATTCACATTTCCTTAAACTGTATAATATTTCAATCATGAATGACCAGTTGGTTAAGAGCCACACTCTTGTTCCTAGTTGTGTGCCTACAAAAACCATACCAGATTTCTGATTCCTTCAGCTAAGCGTGGACTTAAACATCAGGCTGATAACCCAGGTACAAGTGGCCACGCATCTTACTAGTGTCAGTACTTGCTTCAGCAAGCAGCAGCTGAAACACAATAAAAGCCAGTTTGAAACCACATAAATTGTTAGCCCCCATAGAAAATAAAACACAATGACTGTACACAAACTATCAAATGTCACTCACTTTAATGTCTCAGGATCATGTTTGTAATTTGGGATATGTTATGTGATTATAATTTGTCCAACACCACCTGATGTTAACTTTCATTTTACTTTTTTAGACTACTGTTGTTAGTTTTATACATTTTATTTGTAAATATTACATTAGCTCTACCTGGAAGGGCAATAGAGCCACTTTATCTCCTAGTTGTGGAAGCCGAGCAGAACTGATTTAGTTTTGTATTAACACCACATAATCCTTTCCTCAGTATCAAAGGTGCTCAACATTTCAGTGGAGGGACTGCAGCCTTGACCCTAAAATATGTGGCTTATATTTATGCCTATATGGAGAATCCTCTGAGATAGTGGATTTTTGTATAGCATAGTACATAGGTTTTATTGTAGGATTGACACCTGGAATCTATGACTTTTTAGAGCATGGTTTTATAAAATTCCTCCATGACAGCCAAATTTGCTATTAACGTCTATTGGTTCTACACCATTTCTACTGAAACTCAATTTTCACTGCATGTACCCCAAGTCAGTAGTGATTAAGTAGATGAACATTTAGGGACTTCAGAAACATTCTCTACTTACTCTAGCAATGATCTGTGATTCCAACTTATCATCTGCTGTTTCAAAAAACCCTGCAGTCAAAGGTGCTAAGTTACTCATTCCACTTCCCTGCATTTATTATAAACTCATCACAACAACTGTCTTTTGCTGCTATAACTGCATCTGTATTGGGGTTTTAGCTCATACAAATATATACTGCAAACACAATAGGTGAAAAGACAACCCTAACATAATTACACCAGAAAACTTCTAGCATAAGTCAAATTTAAGACTAATTTTGAAAACTGGACTACATTTGTCTACCATCACATTGATGTGATCACAATGGTTTTTTTCCTCTCATTTATTTCAAAACTCAGGCACAATGGAATTAAGTAACCCTTCTGAATGCTTATGATGGGTGGGATCCATTTCAAAACACTTGCGGCACACCATGGCATTTGAGTCTTTCATGACACTGATAAAGAAAAAGAAATCAGATTATCACAATGTATTACAATAATGTCAAACACTTAGGACAAAGTCTCAGGGCTGATCTGGGCCTGAATCACTGAAGCTTCTTGTGATTTCAATGTACCACGGAACAGTCTGGAAATCTCCAGACCCTGGCACTTAATTTGCAGTGTTGGATATCTAAAGAATCCAGACCACTACATTAATGAAACTCCTGAGATGCGATAACATCATAACTCAGCCCTAATACCTCTAAAGGCAGATGTAATGAAAGCTTACTGAACAAAGAATGAAGTGACCAGCTTGTGTACAGCACAGTGTTGAATCCACTGGGAAAATACACACTGCATTTAATCTTTGCTCTCGAGCATTCCTTAGAAAAACCATTGACCTCAGCAGCAATGTCTACGTTGCTAGATAAACATTCCAAATTTATGATTAAAACCCCTTAAATTTTAAGCATTTTTGTTCAATTGTTAGACAAACATGCTATTTATACACTTATTGGCAGAAGTAATAAAAAATTCTCTGGTTATTCTTCTAGAGATGAAAAGTCATCTGAATTAGGGACACAGAAAGTGCCCTTGATGCTACACCTCGATACAGCTGTTCTAACACAGCTTTACATTCAGATACAGATCCTTTCTTCTGGTAAATCCTTTCTGTGGAAAGTATTCATAACACAAGGATTCACAGCAGAATCTGAAAAGGTTATATGTAATTCACTTTAACATAGGAATTCCAACCTGTGGGAACACAGAAAGGGGAAGAGCCACTGCAGTTACGTTTCCATCTCACCCTACTCATCTTTCTCCCTGCTGATTCCTATAAATATAAATAAATAGTAATAAAACAATGTAGGCTGATGAACTTGTTCAGCTGCCTTTGTAGAAAAATACAATCCCTGCAGGAAACTATCTCCTACCCTACAGCTACCTACTGTTTAGCTATAGTGCTGTGAAGACCCCCAGATACAGCTGTACAAAGCCATGAACAACCATTCTTCCACTCACTGACACCAAACATTTCTCATAGAATACCAGGTTGGAAGGGACCTCAAGGATCATCTGGTCCAACCTTTCTAGAAAATCAGGACTTAGACTAGATGTCCCAGCATGACTAGATCTCCTGGAGGAATGGTTTCATGCTGTTTCCACCATGGAATTATTTCTGCTGGTTTAAAACCAAGTAGGGTGAGAAATTACGTAGCAATTCTGCTGCAAGTGGAAGATTTTGCTTCTCTACATATCTACAAGTGTCCCATACAACTTACTGGCCTAAACCTGTTTAACCTAGATTATTAGACGGGCCCTTTACTTTGTACCAGACTTAGACCTGTTGGGTTGTATTTTGAAAGTCTCAAATGATTCAGGAATATAATTCCATTCTCAGAAGTAATGTAGGCTCTTAGGAGGTAGTTAAATTGGTTTTTAGTAAGAATTACATTCATAGCCTACACTATTTAGAAAGATGGGGCTTCAGTGTGTAACTCATTTTGGTACTTTTGCAGATTTTATCTAGGACGATTCAACTCTTAAATATGTATTTCAGTACTGCATATCTGACATAGCTTCCTCCTAGCCACATTCAAGCTAGGTATGAATAAAAGGAAAATCAGATAAACAGCTTTGATCCAAGTTATTGCTTTAGTCATTAGGCCCGTCCTATAGCTTTATGGCAGCTTCTGGAAATGAAGTTCTGCAGTCCAGGTTTCCTACGCAGCAATAAATAAAAATATCATAAACAGTCCCCTCAGATATCTTCCCCTGTGTTGGAGGTAGTGTCCCTGATGTAACCATTTTTAGCATGGTTCTTTGAACACAGGACTCAACTTTCAAGTCCAAGAGACCTGCTTTTCAAGCCTGCGATTCAAAACCTTACTGTATTTCTAATTAGCTTTCATCTAAGCATACTGATCCAAGTTCTATTCTCAGTGACAGTGATGCACATCCAGAGGAAATTAATCGGTCATTTGTTCCAGATTTCCAGTAGAATCCCAGCAGCAAATGTTGGCCTGTGCTTAGTTAATGACCTGGAAACTATTTTCAAGACATAATTTTGTGGTCAATTTCGTACCTCCCTCTAGTGGCAGCAGATATCAAACAAATGAAACACAAAGGAGACCTTGTCACAGATCACACACTGATGTATTGTGCCTATTTCTTTCATCAATAGTTGTTATCCGGAATCAAGGTTGGCTGTAAATCCCACTGTAACTTCTTTTTGGTTATGTTGTAGGAAGAAAAGAATCAGTGGTTGCACATAACCTGAATCCTCATTTACTTCCTCTGCCAGTATGTGGCATATTCATACAGTCCCATGTAGTTTCTCCATGCTCGCCTACATCATAGCTCCTCTAGTCGCTGTGAGTACTTTTGCACTGAGTTTTGCTTTCCACCTCAGGGGAAGGCACAGAACAATTCACCCATTATCAGCTGGTTTATGAGCACAGGGCTTGCTGCTAGCTCCTCTGGTTTCAATTTTCAACTTGATGACAAACTTGCAAGCCTGAATCAGAGATTGAGGAATGTGGCAGGCTCCACACGCTAGCCTGACTTGCAGCTTTTTCAGCTTTGGCAGAATTGGAGTCTGCAGTTAGCTACATTATAATGAATACTTAAAAACAAATTCCTAACAAGAGAAGAAGCAGATGGCGCTGAGGGAGAGCAATTTACAAGTGATGAACAGGCTCTTCCATTTCTGACAAAGGAAAATTTGCCTAGCAGCAAGGCACTGGTTCCTACCAATTCTGTCCTCGAGAGGTTCCTCCTTCTTAATTAGGAACCCGAAGGAACATTCTTGTGTAATACATATTTCATTCTCCCTGTTTTCTCCAATCTATGCCTGAATGTAAGCTACAGATAGACTTATCAGGTGCGATCATGTCTTCATCCACACACCCTTCTAACACAGAAGCCTCCTAAAAGCCCATTTCCAGGTCAATTATGAAATAAGGAAGATCCTTTATCTCAGCCTTACACTTGTGGAAAGTCCCTCGTCTAAGCTTCAATAGAAACCACCATGATGGATAAAATACATGTTTTGATTATTACACTGAGACTATATTAACCAAAACAGATGACAAACTTCCACTAATAGTGAAACGATGTTCAACAGTATGTGGGATGTAGTTTGATATCTTCATAAACTGAAGTCTGTGAATCACAATATGCTGGTATGTGTCCTGGGGCAAGCTCCTGATGTGGGAGAAACTATCTGTCATTTAGCTGTCTGATCAAGAAAATTGTCCTTTTATTAAGTATTAAACCATTTAGTCGACTTCCTACTGCAATCATGTTTTATTCCCATAAATGCTACTGAGACAATCTTATGCCACAGAAATAATGAAGTTTTGAAGTTAAGATCAGTATCCCAAAGAACACTGGAAAAGAGGAAAAGTACACAAAATGTCATATAAAAGGGGAATAGGAGATAAAATGTTTTATGTTTTAAATCAAAGTATTTTCTTTAATGCTGTGTAGACACGGACTTAGTTTTTTCAAAGACAATATTTCCACAAACTGATCAGTGAAACTTGATGCCTCTCTTACAATAATGAAAATGGGTGTATTTTTTAGAAAGAGATACCAAAATCAAGACAATTTAGAATGGCTCCCACTAACCAGCTAACACCAGTGTGTTTGAACATTTTATCTAGGCTGAATTTACTCTGTATCTTCTAACACAGGGTTGAACTCATTATACTTTCTACAAATGAGGGCAACTGTCATAGCAATCATAACATTGTGTTCTGCACTTAAGTTCCCTTTCTGTAGACACTCAACAAGCATGTAAACTTGTGGAAAAACCCCAAGAACCTTTGAATACATGGGGATACAGCTGTACGTTCCCTGTCATTCCTGACCAATTCCTAATATATATACTCTGACATTCATGCCCCACATTTTTTATGGTGTTATTCCCTGCTTTTATTTGGTTTGGGTTTGTTTTTAATGAGGTGAACTTTGCACAGCCCAACTCTAGCTCCTATAAAATCTGTGTCTTAAGTAGCCAGATTTAGTGATTTTTGCATGGAAAAAAAAGGCCTACATACTAACCACACAGCTGTACTTGGAAACAGATGTTTTACCAGCTTTAAACTGAACTAATGAGGACAGGAATATGGAACATATAGGTCAGGAAAACTTGTGTCTCGATTTTGAATTTAGAATTAAGGAGAGAGAACAGAAAAGGCTGGTGCTTCCACATAAGGGGAGGGGAGAAGGACGGTAATTCCACTGATGATGACAAATTGCACGGATGCACTAGCTTCAAGGCACTTCCACTTTACAGTTTTGTTCATCCCAATGTCAGTCCTATTCACTTAACTCACAAAAAGTATCCCATAGTGAGCAGGCCGGATCCTCAGTTTTTATGAAGTCCAGGATTGTGCTGTGCCTCCTTTGCATTTAGCAGATGTGAAAAGACTCTTAATACATTTGTCAAGATTTCTGTCCAACATAAAGTAGAATAATTAGATAGTATCAGATGCTGTGAAAACAGTAAGTTATAATAGAAATTTGACTAAACATGAATTTTTTTAAACTAACTTTGCCTATCAGTGTGACCTTGAAATATAAAGTGTCTCCTGCTGCTAGCTTGGAAACAGATAAGGTTTTTAGTACCACTGCTTCTCTGCCCAATCTTGCTCCCATCAAAGTCACTGGGAGCATTGCCATAACTTCAGAGAGAGGACAAACAAGATCTCTGTAGTTATGATTTGGAGCTCACACTGGAAAATGCATTAGAGATGGTTTTCTATAGAAAAGACACTTCAGGTTTTCCCTCTAGTCCCTTGCTTAAGCTTCTTTACAAAACTATTCTTGATTTGTCTTTGTATGCTCTTCATCAGTACGCTGCCTTGCAGTATACAGCGGGTCCCTTGACTAAGTCACAGCAGCGAAGAAAGGATCTTTTGCTGTTTAAGGCTTTTTTAGACAAGGTCATTACATGCGGAGGAAACTGGGTTTAGTGGGGCCCTAGTTCCCCAGGGCACTACCATAATATAAATTATTAATAATAAAAATAAACATTGGCTAGTTTGAACTTCTCTTCATTCCCTTAGAGCTTATTTTTGTGACGGAATTAGCTAAATAAAGCCCACTTGAAAGAATGTTTAATTGCAAACTATCCAAACAAAACAAAATGGAACTAATTGGTTCTTAAACATTAAGCATTCAAAAGGACATGGCTTTGCAAACAGGCAGAAAACTAATGTATATTAGGATACATATGGTGAAGTGAGCAGTTAAGCAAAATGCAGTTTAAACTGAATTACATTTACTTTTAAGCCAGATATTCAAGTTTTGTCAGTCTAGTTTTGCTTAGAAGACAGCTTTGGACTATTTCACACCTGAACAGAATTGAAGCAGTACTCTTTTGCCAAATTTAAAATCAGAAGAGTCAAATTTGTGTACTGCCTTCTGGGCCTAGTTTGCCAGGAAAGACTATACCACCTACAATGATCATTACTCCATGGAGTGCCCCTTAAACCTGTTTGAGCCGTAAAAGATAGCTTAGCAAAGACTACTGTTTCAAGTGCTTTATCTAAAGCACTTGGGTAGGGAGAGTTCACATAAACAGTTCTGACAACACATCTCTAAAGGAGAGTGGTGATACCTTCCATCAGAATAACTGATTGCAGATCTGCCTTGGCCTTTATGAGCTTCCTTCCTTCAGCCCTCTGTTTTTGTTACTGCTATATAATTCAAATATTTCACAATCAGCAAATAGAGAGTGGCTGTTTGGGCATATTTATTAAAGGTTAATACAGTTGCCACATTAATTTCTTAAATCAGAAGTATTT